CAAAATGATATTCATTCTTTAGTTCGACTTTAACAAAGAAGCAAAAATATCAAGAGCTGTTACTTAATCAATGAAGATATCAGAATTTCTGTTGGATTTTATTTATAACAATGAGCAGAGTAAAAAGCAATAAAATTCATTTTCAACAGAAAACAGATTGCTCTGTTGATCCGTAACCATTGAAAAATGTAAGAAAAATGCGTTTTCTATCCATTGTACACTTACCAATCATCGGTATATTTGGTGCTTGACGTAAAGCTAAATATCAACTAGAATTTGACTCTCTCTGTTCCTCTTTATCATCATTTTTTTTGCGTTCGTCAGTTAGCGAAAAGAAGAAACAAAACAAGAATTACCTATACCATTACCATTCGAAGATACACCGTTGGGTGGAGCGAATGCATTCGTTGAACTTGGAGTCGTGGGTGTATTCCTAACGACGGATTCATATAGATATAATGTTTCGATGAAATAAATGCTTACATGGCGGTATTTTTATTATTTTGTATTTCGACTTCAGTTGCCGGTCGAACATAACTTCTCGGAAACCAACCGACCTAAAAATGAAAGCAATGCATTCTTTCGTTCGTGACAAAACTGATTTACTTTTCGGTTCAATTGTCCACTGTACCAAGTGGCATCTTTTTGTTCACGAACAAGAATCATTTCACCCTTTTGAAATGATAAATGCTTATCCACTGTTTTGCCTTGATAATCTGCGACTGTCACTGCCCACGAACCAGACTAAAAATGCATCAGTGAAATCTTTATTTTATCGTTTCTCTTGTCGCCTACTATTAACTGTGAAGTTGTATCGATACTATTTTCATTGGTGGAAGATGGGGTGGAAGATCTTTATGAAAAGATAATTAGCTAGATAGAAGTATAGTAGTTTGTCGTCTCTTACGAGATGGGTTCAGCGTATGCACTTGGAAAGAATCCTTCTTTACCATTACCAGTTCTTCCGAAGAGCCAATTTTCGTCTTGTTGTTGTGTTGGATCGACCTGAAACGAAACGACAATGGCTCTTGTTACAGTTTGTTAACATTCATAATGAACGTGCGCAAGAAGAAGATAAATAGAAAGATAAACATGCTCTAAAAATATGAACGTGCGAAAGTCCGTAGAGGGTAAGGAAAACTTGCCTCCGAGGGTTTTTTCTAAAAATCATCTCGTTGATTCGCTAAGGAAAACGCAGATCTGAACGAACTTACCGTTATAATATCTCCAGCAGTGACTGCAATTTCATCGGATCGTTCCGGCACATAATCGTACAATGCACGATATTGAATTGTACCTAAAGGCAACTCAGACAATCATTTGATCTTGTCGACCAAGAGCGTCTCACCAGTTGATGCATTCCCATTTTTCGTTGATGGTGGTTGTGGCCACTCATTTGCTGTAGTGCCAAATGGTGAGTTCGTAGTACTAAATGCGTCCCAAGCCGCTCCATTATTATTTGTTGCGTTTGCACTGCCCCATGGATCAGCCACTGATGCTTGCTTTCCGTTGGTTTTCGGCAGGGATTTTGGCGCCTGTGATGCAAACTCTGGCTTGGTAAGAAATGGATCATTTGGCGATACACCATTCGTAGGTGACTGAAACCAAACATTGTTTGTTTCGGTCGTACTAGGTGAACCTAGATCAGATTGAGAAGCAAATGGATCCACTGTTTGGAACGGATCGACATCAAGAGCTGATGGAGAAGCAATAGGAATCGAGGAGGGTAAAGGATTGTAATCATTCGAAGCATGAAATTGATCGTAATTAGCTGAGAAAAAAAACGAAGCAAGATAGGTTAGCGCGAAGAGAATACATAGAAATAGGTGTACCGAGAGCTGTTGTAGGCATGGTTGTACTGGAAAAGAAAGAATGATAGATCGACATCAAGATAATTCTCAATGATTACTTCGCTGATGGTTTTGGATTTCGAGCACTTTGTTCAAGTTGACTCAATTGAAGGCGAAGTTGCTAACGTTCACAGCAAGCAAGTATGATAAATATTTTGTTTTCGAAATGCAAACTAACCTCCATTTGATTTTGATATTGTTTACATTGATGATTCATGGTTGCGATTTGTTCATCCAATCGAACGTTTTCTTGTTTCATATTGTCGAGTTGTAATTGAGCGAATCTCAGTTGGTCCGATTCTCGACTTCCGGTACCTGAACATTGAAAATCAAAATAAGTGCATACTACATTTGTTTTCTTTGTCTTCGTACTAAATTCTTTCGACTGGTTCAAATGTTGCAATGACGAAGTGATCGATTCTTTTTCAGTTTGTATTCGATGTAGCTTCATCATCGTCTCTTTTTTTTGTTGCTCAACGTTTTCGAGAAGATTTTTGTCTTGCAGGGCACGTCGTTGAATATCATCGATCGATTGATCCATTGTTTGAATATTCGTATTGGTTTGATTGATTTTGGTCTGACGTGCTTGTATAGTATCGCCCATACTTTGCAATTCCAATTCAAGAGCTTTACCACGTGATTTGACATCATTGATTTGCTCGAGAAGACGAGACTTTTGTGCTGATAGTTCTTGTAAACGTTGACGTTCCCATTCCAGACGACTTTTCCTTTCCATTTCTTTTCTTGCTGCCTGAAATAATCGGCTTCATTCAGATAATTGCAATAGACTCATGCACTTACTTCCCGTTGTTCGAATAGTTTTCTTCGTTCTTCTTCTCTTTGCTGTTCGATCTGTTGTTGACGTGCTAATTGTCGTTCAAATTCTAATTGTTTTTTACGCTCTTGTTCTTCTTTTTGCTTTTGTAAATCTAATTCACGTTTGCGTTCTACAAAAACATTAGTTATTCACATAGATTTTTGCCAGAACTAAAAAGTGAGCTCTTACCGCGCTCTTCACGGCATTTCTGTTCACGTTCTTCCTGTTCACGTAACATTTGTCGACGTCGTTCTATTTCTTTGAATCCATCCTGAACACGAAATCAAATTGACAATTGTACAGACTGCCTCAGGAGAAAGAAGATCAACACACCTCATAATTTTTCTGTCGTTTCTCTTCATAAGTTACAATACTATTCCTTCGCTCAGTCTCTGAGTTCTCGCTTGTGTGATTTTCCGTCGAAATATGCGACGAAAATGCATCTCTCAAATCTTGATGAGGAGTGGCAAAGGCTGGGCTGACAGTCTGCCTTGCCAATGAGCCAGTCTGATCGCGTAGCATCGTGTTTCCTTGTAACCATTCGTCTGGTAAACGTGTAGGTAGTGTTTGACCAGCACGTACAATGTCACAACAATGCATTGCAACGACAAACTCATCAGGTGTCAAACGACCGTCTTTATCAATATCAGCTAAATTCCTAGAAAATCATTGCATTAAAAATTGTATTGTCCAAAAAGATTGAAATACTTACCAAATTTGATGCAGATACGTTTGTGATAAACCTGTTTGTTGGAGAATGTTTTTTGCTTGTGAACCAGTCATAAATCCATTGGTTTTGGTTACATCGACTAATGAATGAAATTGCTGTAGATATTTTGATCGACTAGCTGGAGTCAATGGAGAAGGTGGGATGATTGCTGGTTTCAACAAATGACTTGCAGCTAGTGGTTGACCAGGTGCTAAATAGAAAGAAGATGATCAGTCAATGAAATGGAAAGACACAATAAGATGAAGCATTCATTATTGGGGTTAACAAAGGTGTACAATACAGATCGATCTTACCAGTCCAGATATTTACTGGTGGCCCTTCAATATGAATAGTTTAATGTCAAAATAGTATTTGTAGTTATAGGTCATCTGTGTCAAATAGTGGAATACTTACGAGTGATGGATGTTGGAAATGCGGGTGTGAACGGTAGGGCACTATTTGCAGTTATGATTATGGCGTCAGAAAGAAGCGTCGGGGGTAGTGTTGCTGGCAGTGGAACTTTTTTCTGAACCTTAAATGAAAATGGAACAATTTTCGATGGAAATATCCAGCTTTATTTTACTTGTGAAGCAATTAAATGACAAGCAATAGTAAATTCTCGTTTATCTAACCGGCCATCCGCGGTTATATCCGAAAGATCCCTAGTAAAAAGACAGAGAATTGAGTGATCATTTTCACGAGGATGAAAAGATAGATTTACCATATTTTACGAAGAACATCAGCGGGTAAACCTGATTGAACAAAGAACGAGCGTGCCTGTTCACCTTGAAGAATCAGTGATTAGTTGTTCTATCATTTTATCATCTTTCAAATCATACCCGTTACATAACCTTGGATCGGATTACATTGTTGAAAGTACGAATCGTACTTTGTTCGATCGTCGGCACTGATTCTCCAATCACCTGGAATATACATAGATATTTTCGAAATTTACAGATGTATATCTTGTCATATGTCTTCATACCTGCCATACAGAATGGATTTTTGTCTTATCTCATCGTAGAAAGAAAAAGAAACTCGAAAAGAAACACTAACGTCAGGTTAAAATCTATAACATCGAGATAGTTTATCGAGTTACTTTGGAAGAAAGGGAGGAAAGAAAAATAAACAACAAATCGCTTGTTCACCTTGCAATAAAAGACGTACATATACACATATTGAAGAAGAAGAAATGTAAAGAATAAGAATAAGACGAATCGATCGTTTAACCATTGGTATGTCGGAGGTAGGTAATTTAAGGAAAAAAAATATGGCTCGATTTGTAGATGTCACTCGCGCACATTAGGATAATATTGCTTATTTCATTTCTTATGCTATAAACCTGTGATTAGATTAGATCAGTTTTCATCCGTCATTATATTCAGTACACGCCCTGCTAAACTTACACGGTTTAACGGTATTTTAACTCAAAAGAATGGGCCGTTTCAAAATAAGAAATTTACGCTCAAAACTCGTCGACCGTGTTCTTCTTATATCTACAGTATAATCGTATTCAATCGTAAAAGCTGTTTATTTTTTTAGTTGTTGAAGAGTGCCGAGAAAAATTTTAAGACCAAACGATACATTTTTTTTTCTTTACTGAGGATTTTACGCAAAAGTTTATATGAGCGAACAAGAAGAAATCATAGCAGATCGTGAATCGCGCATAGCTGATATTGAACATGAGCCTCACGATTTCCTTTCACCGATCAGTGGCTACGAGTCTATGCCACTTGTTACGTTAGAAATAGCGGCGGATGAATTGATCGGCTTTATTCCAACGATCCACAACTATGTTTCGATTGCCAAGCAGAGATATCAACACTCTCCGAATGATCTAACAAATGATGAAGCTGCCGCCATTACACTTTATTCCATGGGATGGAAACCACGTGACCAATGCTTGTACTATGTATTAAACAGTACTCTGCGTTCGTCAAATCGAGAACAACTAAAACCATGGAATTCCTATTTGCGGCTTTTTCTCAATGGACTATTTCGACTACAAAATATATCCAAGACTGTTTACCGGTGTGTCAATAAGGATTTGAGTCATAAGTATCCTATGGGCAAAATAATTGTTTGGTGGGGATTTTCTTTATGTACAACAGTGTTGAACACTTTCCAGTCAGAGCACTATTTGAATCCGTCTCGTCCAAGAACATTATTTATCATCGAATCTCATTCAGGAAAAGATATTCGTCAACATTCATTTTTTCCGTCAATAGACGAATTACTTCTTATGGCTGGTACATCATTTCAAGTGATCGATTATTTACATCAAGGAAATCTTCATATCATCCATCTCAAAGAAATCGACCCGATCTATCCATTGTTACAACCTGTACCTATACTTAGCATTCCGAGATCAACTATTTTACTCGCGCCGGACAAGAGTATTCAACTTTTATCTGTCACTGCTCGACCTGCTGAACCAATGTCAACGCACTCCGAGATGGAACTGAGATTAAGAAATCCAATGCAGAACGTAAGATCATTTTCCTTGCAGCCAACAACTGTTCTATCGGAATCAGCAAATCGAACATCATCATCATTGCAGTTTCGTAACCCAAGATTAGAAAGAATTATTAGTGCAAAACCAAATAAGTCCCATCTATCTCTAAGTTCCATGGAACTTATTGATCAAGATATGGAAATCATAGCTTGTTGTTTATCACGAGATGATACAGTAAAATTGTCTTAATTTCTAAAAATCAGTTTTGACCATACGAATATAAATCTAGAAACTTATTTCGCTCAATTTGGAAAACAATCGAGCTGGAGGCAGCGGTACAAAATATTTGAGCCATGCATTAATACAAAATAAAGTAATTGGAAATACAGCATTTAACTATTATATTACCTTATTGTTTACTACTGTCTAGGTGCTCACTACACTCAACCTTAAAAACAATCACATTGATATTCAAGGAATCGAACAATTGAGTTATGCTTTGAAACAGAATACCGTATAATCTACATAGTTTTTTCTTTATAAATTCATATTCCTTTGTTGACTTCAGGCATTGACAATGCTTGATCTTTCCCGAAATCAAATCGGCGATAATGGCGTGCAATGTTTAAGTTATGCACTTAAACATAATGCGGTAAGAGTCATATAATCTTTGTTGTTCTTCGGAATGGCCGTTTCTTCTTCCAATATAGACACTAATGTTCCTCAGTTTAACGGATAACGATATCGGAGTTCAAGGGGCACAATGTTTAAGTGAAGCATTACAACAAAACACAGTAAGCAAAGAAATCTATTAGCGGGATCCTCTATTCATATTCATTCTTGTAGACTTTGATCTCGCTTTCTCTTGAACACAATCATATTGGTCATGAGGGAGTGTCATATCTTGCTAAAGCTTTACTAATCAACGCTGTGAGATTACCGAACTCAAAGAAGACTTTTGATTATTCTTTGTTCTCCAATTCAGACACTTATGTCCTGTAATTTAAAACAAAATCAGATCAAAGATGAAGGCATTCAAAATTTAAGTCATACATTGAGACAAAACTCGGCAAGTGAAATCAGTTTATTATGTTTCTCCCAGAGTTAACATGTGTTGTAGACGCTGAAAATATTAAATCTAGAAAATAATCAGATTACCAGTGAAGGAATCGAACAGTTCAGTGGCGTTCTGCGTCTTAATACAGTAAATAAAGCAAGGTTTATTCCAACGCTCCAGCATTTTCGTCTATGTAGGCTCTCTCCGAACTCTATCTTGATTTCAATAAAGTCAAAAACGAAGGTGCCAAATACCTCAGTATTGTTCTAAGACAAAACAAGGTAATGATCACTTGATTTTCCTTTTCTTTGCTAACACTCCTGCCTGTTGAACGAGATAGACGCTTGCCATACTTAGCCTTGCATCAAATGAAATCAAAGAAACGGGTGCATTGTATCTTGGTGAAGCTTTAAGATTCAATTCGGTAAACATCTCATACTGTTATCGTGGCATTTGTTTCTATTCGATGTAGATACTTACTGTACTCAATCTTTCTTCGAATCAAATTGGAGAAATCGGAGCGCAATGCTTGAAGGATGCTTTGAAGCACAACAACGTAAGAACGGAGAGGTGTTTTCGATCCCTAAGCCATTTAGATTGTCTTCTTTCATAGGCACTTACTACATTGAATCTGGAAAATAATCAAATTGGTAGTGGCGGATATGACACTTGCCGAAATAATCGAGTAAAGCGAATGGATATTTTTGTCTCGACAATTTTTTAGCTGCATAATGTAGAATCGTGCTACATCGAATTTGGATTGCTCCCAAATTCCGGATGAAGGAATTAAACATCTTAGCGATGCATTACGATGCAACAGTGTAATCGAGAAACAAACTTTATTCTTGTGGTAATCCCATTGACATGCTTTTAGACACTTCAGACACTCATATTAACTTCGAATGAAATCGGAAATACTGGTGTTGAACATTTAAGTTATGGATTGCAATACAATTCAGTAAGAGAATACAATATTGAAGTTTGTTAACTAGATTTCATCCAACCTCATAGTCGCTCACTACACTAGTTTTGGCTTTTAATCGAATACAACATGAAGGAGCACAGTATCTACGCGATGCTTTACTGAAGAATCAAGTATGAAAATAAGTCAGACTAGTTCGTTTCGTCTCATCGAAGTGTTTTCCTTAGACTCTTCGCGTACTTGATCTTGGATACAATGATATTAATGAGCGAGGTATACAATATCTTAATGGTGCGTTACAACAAAACAAAGTGAGCTAAATTTTCTTTCCATTTATTCCTAATCTGTCTTTGATCGCTTCGATATAGACACTTACTATGCTCAATCTTTGTTGTAATCACATTGACGATAAAGGTGTCCAATATCTCTGTGACGCATTGCGTAATAATAAGGTTTGGATAGACTTTTGTGATCTAATTTAGTCGTCTGATATACTTTCAATAGACTTTGACAAATCTTAATCTAGCAAGCAATAATATTGGTGAGAAAGGTGTGAAACTGTTACGCGACGCCTTGCAATACAATTCCGTAAGTTGATATACTGAATATCTGCTCACTGAGATCGATTGTTTTACGTATTTTCAGACACTCATCACTCTCAACCTCGAAAATAATCTAATCGACAATAAATCAGAACAGTATCTGCTGGAATTGAAGAAAATAAACAAAAAAATGAACATTTCTTGGTTATCAAGTGAACTTATTCATTTCTCGAAATAGCAAATCATCATCAACACCGTTTGATGCTGAATATTCTTCCTTTTCGAACGTAGTAGATAGAATCCCTACGTGTTGTTTTCCAATTGATGCAATTTTATTGAATAGAAAAAAAGATAAATTAAAAAAACTTCATTGACACAGTCGTAATCAAAGCAAACAATATGATATTTGTCGATGTTATTTTGTTGCTGTGATTGCACAGATCTTTCTGACAGCACCATTGACCTTTGCCAAACACATGAACTGGATCACAGTTTTTCGATATACCACGATTTACAGCGATTCCAGCGTGAATTTTCTAGATTTTATCCAAGATTATGATCAGATACTAATGAAATAGAAGAAGATTGACGTACTGTGCAATAGTAACCTTCACTATCAGGCTTTTCTTCTATCTTCATATCGCCTTCATTGAAAGGATCACTGCAAACTGTACATGAGTAGCATTTTAAACCATCGTTCAATGGAAGAAAAACTAAAGCAATCATGAAAGTGATTTCGTTCGTATTTCGAAGGAAACTCACTGCATAGAACGAGGCAAACAAGGATGACAGAACGAGAGACCATGATCATGTTATGTATAGAAAATATCTCACTCCATCAGTTTTTACCAGATTATTTATATCCGCGATACGATCTTTACCATTAAGTAGCAGAACATATTTGCTCTGTCACCGATATAAGAAATTGAAATCGAATATGCTCGGAAGGCAACTCAAGTGATTCTGCATTATTTCCCACTATTTGTCTTGAAACGTAATATGTCGACCTATAGACTATAGCTTTGAAGAAGCTTTTTTTCTCAGTACAGTGTACAAATATTTGTGTTTATTCATCACCAGCTTGAGAATATTAAAAGCAAACATAGCTCAAGCATAGATGTCGTTCGTGCGAGCTCGTTTGCATAAATATTACGTTGAATAAACTGGAGTCTTAAAGTTGAAAATTAAAATTCTTTTCTTCGATTTTCTCACATATTTTTTAAGGTTCAAACTCTGTAAAACAGTAGAACCATATCTGAACGATCCGAAAAAGCGAATCATATGGTCACTCTGCTCAACGATGCTCATTGGATGAAATTGTACTGAACAATATTTGCTGTGTCTCAATGACGTTTTGACATCCACATCTGCGCGTAATGCTCAGAAGTTGTCCTTTTCGTTGCGTTTAGGATGAGTACTCTCTTTTTTAACATTTACGCTACATATCCCGAAGCAGGCGACGATCACATGTATGGAACAACAAAAGATATACAGTGGCCAAAATGTTCACCAGCATCATTGCGTGATCAAGCAACAATTTTAATTCGACGAACAATTCCATGGCGACAACGTTCATCACTTCCCGTTCCTAATCATATCCAGGAGATAATTGATGAAATTCCTTCTGGACTTCGACCACTTGTACATTTTCATTTTCATAAAACCTGACTCTGTATATACTTTTCATTCTGAATAATTTCAATAAATTCAATGACCATTGTTTTCGGACTCATCTCAATAATGTTTTCTATCATTCATTTCAAGTAGTTAGCCAACCGCATACGAGAAAAATTCTAGTTGAGACTTTTTTCATTACTTTCATTACAAGGTGTTGCTCTGACACTTCAGTTCAATCATCAACCCCCTGCATATGGTCAACACAACATGTAATTTCATCTCACACGATATATCACCTCTCAGTAAGCTGAAGTGAAAAGTGTCAGGACAAGACACATGTCGAGCTTTGTAAAGAACGAAGGAAGTCGCTTATTAAATTTACCAAGAGGTATATATAACATAGATAAAAAAACCCGTTGCGATGACGAAAACGAGCGGATCGGTGGCAACACTGAACTGCCAGAGCAACTCCTTACACTCATAAAAGTGCACTTATATGAATACTATCGAATGAACCAAGCCACGAAATATTCTAGACAGTCTACATAGTGTAAGCGGTGTCCAAGCGGAATACTGGAGAGAGAAATCAATCGAATGTTCGCGAGAATTAATGTATTTATTACTAATAAGAAATCGTTCGCATCCGAGAATATCTTTATGACTGTAACACAGTGCAGTATAGTATTCTTTGTGTTGTGGAGGGTGTAACTGATTGCACTTAGCTTGAGAAAATTGCTAATTCCGATAAAGTTCCTATAGCTGCAGGTGGAAGAACTGTTCTTATTTAAAGACATGATTTCGGCACAGCTGCCTATTCGATTTCGTCCATGAAAGAATCTCAACCATTTCTGAATCTTGTCTCTAGTCAAATATGGCATACGCCACTCTCATTAATGCTTATGATATATGCTTTACTTCATTGTATATCTTCGAATGTAAAAGTCTCGGAATTCCAAAATACGAATTATTCCGTCAATTTTCCTTAGATGATGTATTCTAATAGTTTCTTCTTGATTTCTAGTGGAAAGCATCGCTCGTTGATGCGATAAGTCGGAATGGTGCATTTTTGTTAAGCCATAATGTCCTAGTCGATCTGCCACTTGATAAAAGGCAAGGTTGATATTCAATTTTTTACATTGCAATCAGAATTCCCTTCGTAATGTTCGCCGATTGTTCAGTGAACCGTCTTGATATAACTTTTGATTGTACTCGATGGTTTTGAGCATGATATTGTCATTTATTCACCGAGCAAACTAGCAGACCATTGCAGTAACTGTACCATTATTTTCATTTTGTTTACATGATTCCCGTTCCCGAAGGAACGGGAGTGGACCGAACTCGACGGCACTGCAGTGTCGAGACGATCCGTGGCACAGGTCCGAGTGAACCCGGGTGATCCTGGCCCATGTCCAAAAATCCGCTTGAAAGAGCCTGGCCCCGATGGGACCAGCGCCGGCTTTCAAACCGACGAGAACAGATACTACACTTTGATCTTAGCCGAAAAGGCCGAGAAGCGATAACTAACATCACGATTTCGTTCCTCTTTTCTCCCTCATGTCTCCACACATTTGATATCTTTCTCTTTCTACGAAACGAAGTTTCATCATTTCATAGGTGCATGACGTCATTTGTGTGACTAAGTTTCGCGAAGAAGCGAGGAGGGACGGCAGATGCTATTTTTCTTTTTTTAATTAACTTAAAAGTGTTGCTTTGGCAGATCAGTATTGCCACCGATCCGCTCGTTTTCGTCATTGCAACATGAGTTTTAATACAGTAAGATCTTTTTTCTTCAACATCTGAACCGAACCAATGCTTTTATTATTAAAAAAACGTACGTTCATTGAAATTTTTTTTGTAGATTTTGGAAGAACGCGGAATTGGTGATGCGATGACGAAATACACAGCAGGATAGAGCAGCACCAAGCAAAACGGATACGTAGATACAAGTGTTAGAATCGCTGGGAGTAGATACTTTTTTTTCTGTCAAATGACAGTAACCATTAAAATCTTCAAACAAATTGCGGCTTCCATATTTCTGTTGCAAAAAGCCTCCATTTTTTGTGACGACATAGGAATAATTTTGATGAACTAGATAATCTGCCAGTAAGACGTTGCCCGTGTTCTCATTCGCAGTTTCTTGATTTCGAGCCGCTTTCGAATCGCGTACGATCGATATTTTTTCCGTTTTAGCACGCCTGTTGTACCTATGAAAACAGCGTGATGGTACTTTAAACCAACTAGTATTCGACCCTTGATTCAATTTAATATTGATTCCCGCATGTGGTTGTCCCTTTTGAAGAGCCAGTTCAATATTGCTTGGTTGTATCGTGATGTTTGTCGAATAAAACGAGACCCAGATATCTTCATCACGAGCATTTGCGATATGTGTAATATTGCTCCAATGAAAAAGCCTTTCCCAAAATTCTTTTAACAAACTCATTTTTTTTCAGCTGTTTTTCCTCGTGGTAAGTTTAATAAGGGACGTTCCTCGATGGTGTCGAACCATGACATCTAGCCAGTCTCTACACTTTTCCCTTCCTCTCACATATTTCGAAACTCGATGTGTAGAGACGACGAGGATATCACGCTGCACGTAGTACGAGGAACGTTGCTTATTACAACTTACCAAGAGGTAGATATAGCATTCATAGAATACACGTTGCAATGACGAAAACGAGCGGATCGGTGTCAACACTGATCTGCCAGAGCAACACTTTCATTTCAAATGAATCATTGTAATTTGAAGCCGTTCTCCAGACAACTAGTCTGAGAAAACGTATTTGGCTGGAAGAGAAAGAAACAAATGTAATAGTATGTTGGGAAAACATGAAAATGATATCGTAATCGTGAACGCATCGTTACCGATAGGTTTTTGCGAGAATAGAAAAGCTTGTGAATAGAAGAGATAGTGTTTAGACTATGTTCATTTCAGAAGAGCACAATAGAAGAAATTTGACCGGAGATAGGTTGCATGATTGCATATGCGTTGTTTTGTTTATTCTCTAATCATCAGAATAAATTTGAGTCCAGCATGAATTTCGTCGCTGTCTGTGTTTTTCTCACTCGATAATTAGCCTTGTAACAACAAGTTTCTCTAAGATATGAAATTATTGTTCTTGTATTTCGTTATTGTTGTTCTATTGCACTTAGAAAATACAAATCAAGTCATTCTTGAAACATCGCTTAAAGCAGAGAAAATTTTAGTCAAAACTCATTTGAATGAAACATATTGTACCTGGTTTTTTCAACCGCCATGGAAACTGCGTAATGATCTCTTCAATGACAAGCCGTACAATAATTCAGGTACCGTTATTACTTTTCCATTACTCTTTCTCTCTCTCTCGCTCCTATTGTATTAGAGAAAGATCGATTTAGCCTTCATTTTGATTTCCTTTTTAGTTGAGTACTTCGGTATTAGTCAAAGAGATCCCATAAACAATGAATCTTTTGTTGAAAGTTCAAAGATAAATGCATGCAATGAAATTAATATTACATTCTATTCTAAAGTAAGTCAAACATCCATCGATTCCAGGCTTTATGTTCTTTTACACAATCAAAACAAATGGGATTATATATGGAATTATGTGCCTGTTGATACGCAATGGAACTATCATCAACTTAGTATCAACTTGATCCATCAAACTGAAGAATACGTTCGAGTAAGCTGACAGCAGCAATCATTTGAATTGAATTAAATCTCTATTTTCTAGCTCCGATTCATGCCCAGTCTAAAGTCATCTCGCCGGATTTCGATGGCTATTGCTGTACTCAACATAAGCACATTTACAAATTGTATGTTCAAAGAATTCTTTTCATATCGAATGAATACATGCTTTTCGATAAGGTCATACCGACAAATTACAATGGACGAGTCAAGCATCCGCCAAAAGCAATACAATTAAACAATCATCTTTCTTGGCTCTTTTAGGTGGCATTGTTTTACTTGTCTGTACAGCGGTAGCCGTCTTATTTATCTACAGTATTATTGAGAAACAATGTAATAAGCTGGCTCAAAGACGAACAACGCAACGTCAACAAAAAGTTCGTAGAACGAAAAATGCCATTAGAGATGAATCAACTGTACTTAGTCTGGCAACTCATCCTGTATGACTTTTATTTTTCTTTTCAATGTGTAAAAGAACAACTTGTATAGAAATTCAAAGCTTTATTTTAACCCTCTCTAACGTTAACAAATAAAACAATTTTTATTCTTTCTATCTCTATTCAAGAGATTTAAAAAAAAAAGCTTTAACTTGAACACACTTCATCTGATTAATGTTATACTTATCGCACACTCGATAAAACTGATTTCATCTCATATACATGGTTAACATTAATTTCTTTTTCGATATTTTCTATCTGTACACACATATATCAAATCGATGTCATCTTTCTATTACATAAGTCTAAACCTTTCATCTGTCGTTCTCTTTTTTTTTGCAAATATTTTTTTTAACCGATGGTCAGCGCTTTGTTCTCGGCCATTTTTTTCCATTTATCTATGTACAAATTCTCTCCCTCTCTCTCTCTCTTTGTTTCAATACAGACATCATGCAATAACGTCAATAACGACGGCGGCAAGGTATAGGTGTATTTCACTTTCAATTGAACAAAAAAAAAGACTGGCGAGAGAAAAAGAATTGACCGGAAATTGAGCATGATCATGTTTATATTGCATAAGATTCTCTCTCTTTCTATGACGTGTCTGTCATTAACTAAAATAAAACGTCGTTCTATCTCCTTGATTTTAACATTCGACACTACTTCATGAACCATATGGTATCCTTCATCTAATCACTTGACAAACAGTTAAGCAGAAGGATGAAAAGATGAGTAGATGAAGTGTTTACTTCAGTTTCAATGAATTATTATTATGAGATAGGACGTTATTGTATATCATCAAGTTAACGATAAATATATTTGACAGGTTTCTCCGACGAGAAAAATAGGAGTAGTCAAGAAAAGGTACTTACTCATTCGTTTCTTTTCTTTCTCTGTCTCTCTCTCTCTCATTGCTTATTCTACCATTCTTCTTATTTGTGCTATGTTATTGTGGCAATGTGCACGATATAAGTAAAACGATTGAACAGCATTTATCAATTCTCATTCGATCACATCCACGATTACACACGCATATATATTTTTATTTGGTATTCTAATCAAGCGATAGTTTTCTCTTCGATTCTTCTCGATCATCTAATCTGTAGATCGACTGACTAACATAGTCTGGTGGTAAAAATTCACTTATAGTGTATATAGATTCTTCTTTCTATTCCTATTCTCTCCTGCTTTTTTGTTTCCGAGCGCGTGTGTGTTGATGCNGATGAACTAAAAGAATCTTTTTAGAGGAAATTAGATGATGTAATCATCATTAGTATAGACAAACTCATTATTGAATAGTAAATTCAATCAAAAATTAGCCTTTTTTCCTAGAAATGTCTGTGTCAACGACATTTACCAATGTTATTCTCCTCGATAATTAAAGCAACACTCTCTCCCGGCCCAGCAGAAAACGTTCTTTTTAGGGAAAAGAATTTCACGCACACATGTCTCTAACCTTGAGCATTTTTCTCTTTGATTAGACTGAAAGAAACAGGGGAGAAAATATATCAAAATAATTACTATTTACTCTAATAGAATTCAAATGATTTTGAATGAAAATAGATCGAAAGATTTCTTTTGCCAGTTTTCTTTTCTTTTTCCGTGTCTTTGCTTAGTGACAATGTCTGATCATCGCTACTCAATCTCTTATTCATCTGCATGCACATCATTCTCGAGGGCATATTTGATTCTTATTTTCAACATTTGTTGTCACTCGATTCTTCTCGATTTTTAATGGATATTACACGATGAAGAGAAACAACGCACATATCTTTCTCTTTCTCATTTGTCTCGCTCAGCAGAAGCTTAATTATTCATGATCAAGAATTTACATAGCGAACTCACATAGACGAGTACGAGAGAGAGAGAAAAAAAAACGACTCGAATGAATGACAAACGTAATGAATACTTCATCACATTGCAGAAAAATGTATCACCATGTTGATTTGTTTTTTTTTCCTACTATTGAAGATAAGATTATAGAATTTCCTTTTCTGGTTCTTTTTATTTCAAGTTAATTATCTTCGTTTGAGGTTTTCTCTCGAAATTCAGCAGGATAAATTTAAGCTGAAATAATCCAGACTTCTATTAGACGTATTAGATTAATGTTTTATTCACCCTTTTTTTAGTCAACAACAACAACAACAACAACAACAACGACGACAACACAGCGTTCACCAATCATTGACATTATTGGAAGTGATTACGATTCAGATTACATGTCCCAAACATATCTTAATCGTACATCATCCTATGCTTCATGTTATTCATCGAATCCAAATCATATATCAAATTCACCCATGAATCGACATGGATCAATTGAAAGTTTATTACATGGCCATTCGAAATCTAATCCAGCTAATATACGTGTTCTTGTACGAAAAAATTTTGAACCATTTGCGCAAGCACACATTGCTGTTTCAAAAGGTATACACGCAATTCACTGTGAATAAAAGATAAAATTGTTGGCAATTTCCATCAGATTAGCATCTGTGCTAGACAGTAAAAATGCTGCATGGATTTGCATAGAAAATCTGCTTCTATAGTCTAAATCAGCATGTTTTCAGTATAGAACGAATTGTAACTATTTGTACTCACTCATTATGTAAGGCATTCTCTTTTTTCTCTTCTTTCTATTGTTCTCATTCATGTAAACATGCAAACAATGATTAATCAGATTATTTGCCTCGTTTAGGTACAATAGTGACTGCATTATTTTCTCGTGGGCCATGGTTGTATATACGCATTGATTCAACCGGAAAAACGGGTTATATTCCACGAATGATATGTTCGTCCTACCAGAAGTCTTTACAACCGACGGATCTGTCCAACTCATCGATTGACTCGTCATTAATCAAAGATGATGAAATGCTTCTAAAGACCGATAAATATTATAATCGTCCGTATAAACAAGTCATGAATCGATATCTATCACATAGTTCAGCTATCATCGACGACACAAAGCCACGACGATCGAAAGTCTACTTCGATGAACGCGAACGACGTAATACATATACATTACCGATATCACCACGAACAAAAGGTACATTAGGAAAAGATCGTCGACTGACACTCAGTTCAATCAATTGCCCACTTGGCTCGTCATTGAATAAGCAAGATTCATCAACGAATTCGAATATTGAAATACGAACGATCATTACTCGTGATACAGATTCATCCAGTACGCAAGATTCCGGTTATTCGGAATCCACGCCATTCTTTCTTGTTCAACAAGCAACGCCAGAAAATGAACAACAAACGATACACTCATTTCTTAATACATCGAAAGTATGTTCATTGAACTCTTTGGAGATTACCGAGTATTTTCCAGAATGAGAATAGACAAAGAAACATCTGTTTATAAAACATTGTTCATTCATATTCAAGGTCTACGCAGGCCAGCCGGCATAAGCATCTATCATTCATGATTGTTGCTGTTCGCAATCAAATCTCAATGTTTTGCTTTTCTCCTTTCAGAAATCACACGCCATACCCCATTACGCAACTATTCGTCGTCCGTCTCTTTTAAAAGTTCCCGATCCAAGTCAGCATCAGCAGAAACAGCTCAATGCATTACAGATTCATCGTCAGACACTTCATAATGGATGTTCTATGAATGATATAATCATCGATGATTCCATTAAACGGCATTCATACGGTGCATTCGATGAAGTTGATTCTTCCAATTCAAAACTGATGAGTTCCAATTCAACTCGTCGTCTACCTGAATTCGCTTTAATCAGAAATGTGCGACGGAATAAAACGCAAATCAAACCATCAATTTATAATCTTCCGAAAAGTCATATACAAATTCCTGCTAGTATTTTCCTTAATCATCATCGTCAAAAGCAGCAGTTCGGCAGTTCGCATAGTGCTTTTCGACCTGTTCAACCTGCGAATGTATTCAAACGAGCATCAAGCGAAGGACATTCTCCTTCATCAACATCATCATCGTCATCAGCAGCATCCTTGTCAAATTCCAATTCTTCCATTCAAGAACAAACTCAACCAAAAACGCGCCGACGTCTCTCATTCGACCTGCGCGTGCCTGCTTTATTATCATTGAAATCGAATAGTTTAACACGCTCGGTTTGTGATCAGTCAGCAGCAGCAGTCGCAAAAACTAAAATAGGAAAATTGAATCAATTTTCTCGAACAATGAGTGATATTTTATGCGACCAATTCAGTGAAATAAATCTCGATGCCATCGAAAAAGACTCGCTGATTCAACACCAATCAAAAGCAACACATCAATCTCAGCAATGTTTATTTACCGTAATCAAAGATTATCGAAGTTCGCGTGCATCATTTGCGCTTAAACGCGGAGATTCAGTTCATGTTCTCAAACAAGTCGGTCGAGCATGCTATCTCATTCGAAAACCAACGAACGGACAAACAGGATTCATACCGAAAGCATTATTAGTTCCGGCAGCAACAACGAAAGTTGATACTTTTCTTAAAATGCATGAATACCGCGAAACAATCATATGATTCAATATTGATTGCTCTTCGTCGGTGTCTTTTTGTTCTGTCTAGTCTTTGTAACACAGTGCCGTTTGTTTTTACGGAATTTCTGACATATAACAAACAACGATACAGCTCAGGATTGATAGAAATAGACAATTTCGTTGTGTTTTCTTTTTAGTGCAGACGTTTCTTTTTTATTAAAAATAAGTTTTTATGCGCAAACCATTCAAAATGTTCATCGATGTCAGTAGGTCAATCATATGGATGGCCTGATGGTCTAGTGGTATGATTCGCGCTTCGGGTGCGCGAGGTTCCGGGTTCGATCCCCGGTCAGGCCCTTCTTTTTAGGTTCAATGACACGCATTGACTCATAATCTTTGTCGTTTTTTCCTCTATTTTTATCTCATTGGAAATCAATTACATGTCAGTTTTTAATCAAACTGACTATGAAGATATTTGCATTCGTATTGACTTAGTGACACATTAACTCAATTACCTTCTATATCAATAAACTAGATTGATATATTTGATTTTGATAGCTATGAGGAGGTAGCTTGAATACATCAAATGAGAGAGATTGAAACAATGATGAAAGATCTCTTTTTGATCTCAATTCATAAACTATGGAAAAATCATTCTTGTACTTCATGTCTATGCCTTCTATTTGTAATCCTGTTCATCTTTGATTGCTATTCGGACAAATCTCAAGCACTACTTTATACATGTCGTTGACGAAAATAAGATTTCTCCAAACATCAATATGTTAAATTCCATAGCTTTTTGTGTTTAATTGATGCTTATCAATAAATGACAACAATCAATTATTTAAACCATCTCCACAAAAACCAATTAGATTATTTCCGACGACTGTCACCAAGTGAAACACGGCTTTTTCAAAAGGACTACTGTACAAACAAGAATCGAATTTTATTCCATACATTTTGGAACGATTCACATAAATTAAATGAGCCTTTACTCGTACTTCATATTCTATCGTATCTGTATACACAAAATCATCATTAGTTCACCGTTGATTATTTGGACATTACCAATGTACAACGTACACAAACCACACGTACAATTTCGAATGTTACGCCCATTTACAAACGATTTGAAACAAGTCGGAGCTGATGTAAGAGGTAGACGAAACTTTTCTTTTGAATGAACAGAATGCATGAGTGGATTGTTAACTGAAATTCTTCGGATCGCAGACGAAGCGTAGAGAATTGATATAGAAAGTGTCTGATGAATTGTCTACCAAGCTATTCTTCTATGCTATTTATTTAGATTGACTCATATCACTTTTGACTTTTTGATCGATGGTCCGCACCGAAAATAGTTGCACTAAGTAATGCTGTTCATTTCGTCGTTTTACATAAACTTGATGGAATTTATATCGACGCTGATATCCTTCTTCTTCGAGATTTACAACCATTTTATGAATATGAATTTACTTACCAATGATCAAATCGCAATGAATACAACACAGCTATTCTCCGCCTATTTTTCCAATCAAACATAAGTTCAATATTATTTCATCAAGCATATGAAAAACAATCGTCTGCTGTGTTTTTCCCTTGGGTCATTTGTTCCCTACCGATACCGATTGATTTAATTCGCCTACCAAGTGTATTTTTCGATCCTCTATGGTTAGTCGCTGAGAATATCGATAACAAAACTGTCATTGCGTGGAAATTATCAAACAACACAAAGCATACATTCGAGAGCGTCATTCATAAAGAAAGCTACTTAAGTCAACAAGGTCGAGCAGTTTTTGAATGGTGCATTTTCATTTCATTGGCACACATTACATTTGACAGGGTAGTTTCAACCAGGATCATACCTCTCACAATGGAACGAATATTTACAAGCAGAGTTACTGGAATTAATTTGAAGTTTTCTTCTCAGTGGACCGATTAGGAATAAAACTATCATAATTAATCTTATGTTCCCGAGAAAAATAACGACAGATGTGAAGTATGAGCTACATCGAAGGGGAGGAAAACAGTCATGTCAGATTCAATATTAAATTAATGAGCATACTCTATATAGATTTCTTATTTTTTGAAGAAAAACATGACTTCAGTTCTATGTCATATTATTTGCTTAATTGCAAAGTTATTTTCATTATCAATACATTTGTCTGACTATATATAATCAAAATTCTTCATTTGGTTACGTCGTCCTCTCGTTAGACGAGAACGGAAAAACAACGAGCGAGAAAACAGCTTTGTTTTCATGAACGCCTCCTTCAGTTATAAAAGAGAAAAAAGAATAACAATGACGTCGAAATAAATGACGTACTGACGTCATCGTCATCAAGAAAAGAATTGAAGAAGTAATAGTAGTAGCAGAGAATATTCTCGCCCACTTCTTTTTTCTTTTCTTCGGTCTACTTACGAGTGTGTATAAGCATATTTCTTTTTTTTCGATCGCCTACGCTCTGTTCTGTCTCCGGAGAAAAAAAAACGAGAAGTATTGATGAACGAAGACAAGTTCAGATGATAGTAGTCACACGCGAGCATGCCATTCGTTTTCTACACATAAATAGAAAATATAATGATGATAGAGATAGCATGTAACATAATAGTATCTCTGACGATAGGAAATAACAAATCTTATTTGTGCGACAGAAATCTTTTTCTTACAGGTTTGCATCTAAAGAACTTAGCTTCTTTCTTTTTTTCTTTTCAGAAGACGAACATGACAGTCGGGAATGCACCAGAACCATCGCTAGCAGCAGGTAAGAATAAATGATAATTAATTTCGTTCCGGTTATAATTGCAATATCTGTGCAGGGTGTGTCGAGGAGAATTTTCAAGAATGGAAAGAATCAATGTCAAATGAGGTTCGATTGCCAGGTGGTTTATCATCTGGAAGCCGACAAAAAGTATGCTTCAAATTCGATGATGATTGTAGATGTTAATTCAATCTTTCTTCTAGTTATGGATATCGCTAGCGAAGAACTACATACGTGAGGTACATCTAGACTGGGATAAAACACGACAATTTGCATTCAACCCGGAGTCATATCCGGAAGATGAGCAGTTAAATAATCAAATTGTTAAAGTGAATATTTTATGAACGAGAAATGAAGAAAATACATGGCCAAGGTTCTTTTTTTCTTCTAGGATTTGCATCGAACTGGTTGTAATTGGTCGACTAATGAACAAAATCGAATAATACTTCAACGCGTTCTACTTGCCTTCGCTCGTTATAATAAATCAATCGGTTATTGTCAAGGCCTTCACATTTTAACATCTGTTATACTCGATGTTATGGATATGAATGAAGAACACGCTCTCATGATCCTTATCTACCTAATCGATTCGATTCTACCAGATTTCTTTTCGAATAATTTGCATGCTCTAGCCATCGACATGACCGTATTCGATCATTGGTTAAAAGTCTTCAACCCTCAATTACATTTGCATTTAAAAAATCTTCAATCGACTTCTGCATTGAATGACGATGAAGGAGGAAATTATGAACCTCCGCTGTTGAATGTTTTTACAATTCAATGGTTTCTCACTCTATTTGTCACATGTTTACCTCGACCAGCAACATTACGAGTCTGGGATGCGTTAATGATCGAAGGAAATGAAGTTCTGTTTCGAACCGGCTTACTTCTTTGGTCGAAATTGTCCATGTAAGTCGCATTGATTTGCGCCGAAAGAAAAAGCCTTTTGTTCTCTACTAGTGCTGTTTTGAAAGTAACAACCGCCGATCAATTCTATTCAGCAATGGGGCACTTATCAGTGCAATTACTGGATGAAAAAATCATTGTTGCTGATAATCTTATTCAAGTAAATGAAAACTAAACAGAAGTAGAAGAGAGACGAGATCTAATATGAATTCTTCTAGGAAATCTATAATGTGGGTCCATTTCCAACTCCATTCTTGTCTGAACTTCGTCAGAAATTTTCAATTCAAGCACCGTCCAACCGAACAAGTCCTACCAATCAATCGAAATCAAAAACTGTAAGTGATGACATACGTATATGTTCGATAGTAGAAAAAGATTTACTGATAAAAGCTACTACTTCTAATATCTATCCATCATGCGTAGTTGATTGACAAGACGTGTTGTGCTTATGTCAATCATTGACTTTTATTATTATATGTGTACTTAGGATCTGAAACGAATCAAAACAAAACTGCTTGATGAAGAAATTGTGAATTTTGTCTCGTGTTTTGCCATACTTTCGTCATCATCGTTGCGAAACAATCGATGTAAGAGATTGACAGATTGTCGATTTTGTGATCTAACTCAATTATAAAATTAGCAGTGGAAAAATCGAATTCGCCGGATGTAAATCAACTTCGACAACAATACAAAAAACTACAACAACGAAATAAACAAGTTCAAATTATCAGCCAAAGTAATTCAATTCGCTATGCTGTAGAATATGTAATCAAATCGCGCTTTCTTTTGAACAGCTTCAAATACTCAACGCCAATGTGCACCAGATTCGATTTGTTCCATATCCGCTGGACCATTGGTAGGAAAAATCAATTCCTTGATAAAACCAGATTCGATTTGCCCTTTCAACTTTAGGTTAATCATCTTCTCGTCAAACCAACGGATATCAAACGCAATCAATTGAGAAAGAACGTTTCAAGTAAATCTCTCTCATCGAAGGATCAGCAACCGGAAGAATACGAAAAGGAAATTCAACAATTGTTAACATGTCTCAATGTTCCTCAATCGAACAAGCTGCCGCAAGCTGACTCAAAGAAAACATCATCGGACAATTCTATCGATCGCTTTCTTATATCTCGATCTGCTCAAATTCCCAAATATTCTTCGTTCAATCCTTTTCCCTCTCGTTCATTCAATGAAAATGTTGCTGTCAATGGTTATAAACTTGGCCTGTATTCTCCCGTTGTCACAAGTCGATGAAGCCTAATCAAACGACATATGTCTTTCATATTACGAGTTAATCTTCCTTGTTGTAAATTATTTATTTTCGATTGAAAAATTCGAAGGTCAGTTGAGAATAAACGATGTTTTTTTTTTCTTTTCTTTTTCGTTGTTGTTAATATCAGTATCAAATAACAATAAAAAAATCAATATACTCGACCGATTACATCTGTTATAGAAATGTTCTTTGCTCGTCAAGGTTGTCCGTCTTGTCTTACAAATCGATTGGTTGAGCAGAGATTTCCTCCAAACTTTCCCGTTTAATCATCAAACCGAATGAAAAACAACAAAAGAGTAGCAATATCAATCGAACAGGGAAAAGATTGCACAAAAGAAAAAACAAATAAAAATAAATTATTCAAATCCAGTAAGCATTTCGTGCATGTGTTTCATTCACCTGATCTGCTTGACTATCGAACGTATAACATGAATTGATTTGCGTTTCTTTTTTCATCTTCTTGATAGATGTATGTCCACAGAAATTCTAGATGTGTTTTAAGACAAATCTTTCATTTAGGTTGCCGGAGAAGAAGTAATGTCATAGCTGCGTCGACAACTTCAACGCTTGGAGTTGAAGATGTTCCTGATGAATCAGTTTTCAAACGTTGTTTTTTTCTTTTCGTTTCTTCGGATGAGCTGAGACGATGAATAGTTTTATCTCGTTTGCGATCTTTCAACGGACAACTGTTTTCATCGTTGGTATGACGAATGATATCTCGTTGCCTTTCTGAACATAGACGTTCGAATATATCTATTGTACATTGATTTGTTAACGATAGTTGCCGAGTATTCATAGTTAACAGTGTGTCAAGTAGAAGTGAACGTTTTGAACGATCAGTTGTCCATAGCGGATAACGTAATTTACTTCCATTCGACGGATTTTTGATAATTTTCACAAAAAATGAAATTTGCTTGGTCATGTGATAACGAATTTTACTTTTCAGACGAGCACTGTACAGTAGATGTTCATCAGTTGAAGAAACAGTGTTGTTGTTGTTGTTATTATTATTGTTAGTTGCAGTTGATTGTTCGATATTTCGTTCAATCCAATCACAAATTTCATTTAATGTTAACGTTCGGCTTTTCGAACTTTCGATTGCAAATAAAATCCAAAAACATAGAGCAGAATGTGGCGGAGAGACAATATCAGTCGTTGTAACACGTTCACTCGAAGAATTTAATGATGACGAATCAATATCGTGTTCACTATCTGATGAATCAATGAGACTCGACGGTGGTGGTGATGAGCGATGGCGATGTTTATCATTGATGTAACTTGGTAAACTTTTACTCAGTGTTGGTACAGCGTGTGTTGAACGTGATGATGAGGACGACGAAGATGAACGATCAAATATGTCCGATTGGGTTAACCAGGATAATTCTGTCAGATCATGATCAGATTGTTGTTTTAAATTAGTTAACATTTGTCTAGAAGTAAATTATGTGTCATGTTCTTATTTCATTGAATAAAGATTTTTAAATACACAATCGGACGTATAAAAGCATGACATGTACTTAGAGAATTTCAAATTAATAGCTTTTCAATGGTATTGTGTTCGGCTCTATTTCATTCTCTCAGAGTATTCCTTAGTAAATACAAAGTTAAAGATCTAACAGTGATTGAAATGGGATAAATATCGGCAGTGATCTGACTTGTTCGTCTATCTAAAGTCAAATACACGTATGAGAAAAAAAGGCAGAAGAAGAAGAAAAAAGAAGAGAAGTGTGTAGAATTAAAAAGTAGAGGGTGAGCGAGTGAGAATAATAGTAGCGTTGAGAAGGAGAGACAAAGACGAAAAAGAGAAGAGGAGAAAAGAGGTGAGAGAGAAGTGGATTGAATCTTTCTCGCAGAGTTAGTCGTGAAGGTATGTGTGTGCGTGTGCCCGTCGAGAAGAAAGAAGAGATAGACGACGACGATGACGACAAAGTAATACTGGTTAAGAATGAGAGAACTATTGCTTAGCAACACGACATCTGTCTTCTACGACTTTGCTCAACATATGAAGAGACATTTACTTCTATATACTCATGTCTCATGACATCAGGATGAACGATGGAAAAATAGAGAGAGAGAGAGAAAGAAGACGGCAGACATATTGGCTTCCTTTTCTGGTGTATGCTGAAATATCTGCGTAAATCTGAGACAATATGACGAAGAGAAAAAAGATCTCTTTTATTAAAAGAGAATAACTACGTATACAAGTGATAGATGAGTAATACAAGAAAAACTAACAAGTAACTCGTAATGGAAATGATAATTTAACAAGAAAATTTTCATATTCAAGTGATGCTTTAATGAAAAAAAACCTCAACTGACAGTTTTCTTTCCATCAAACTCGGAAAAAATCTAGCAAACGTTCATTTCCTTTTTATTTCAAATCGATGAGTTTGTCATTAAATAAAAAGATAAATACTTACACGCGCGCACACACACGTCAGTTTTTATCAGAAGAAAATCATTTCAAAGGTGTCCCGTACTCTAACATTGTTTTCTCATCGATGCTACCAAGCGTCGCACTTACCTTGTTTCCTTTGAAACATGAAGATTAATACGATTGGCTCGCAAATAAGCGCAGAAAGACATTAGATTTTTCATTGAAAATTTCACTTGGCTATTAATTATTAACGATTACTTAGAAAGAGCTCGCTCCTGTCTTCTTGAAATCTATGACGTCGTTTGTTTTTCTTGTCTTTAATAAGATGAGAAGTACAATCCACGTGAGATTACTCTAAAAACTTTCCTTTCCAGGATAGGGGATGCATACTTCATCATTGCGTGTGAATAAATAGACAAAGTCGACTGAAAATATGTTGCATGTGAATTCTAAAATCGAAACTTTTTGTCTGGTATTCGTTACAGAGTGCGAAATACACTTCAAAATCGTATTATTTGGATGTATTAAGATAAGATTTGACTGCTGACGAATCAATCATTCCGATTAGATGGTATACAATTCTCTTCAAGCAGACATAAACTTCTTATCTTGTAGTGCTATCACTTGCTATGTTCACTTGTCACAAGAAAGGAAATATAGAAGCTGAATACCTGTTTGGACAGCTGGAAAGCGCGCAAGAGAATGAACTTCTATCTATCGATGGCAAAGCACAAAAATATTTGTATTAGATATCTATGGATTTAGATTATTAATATTTTCTTTGCCGTTGCTATGAAAGAGAATCTAATGAAATGATAAATCTCTTGCTAGACGACACTTGAGTATGTCTGGTATGAAGGAATTCCTTCTTCTTCTTTTGTTAGAAATTGATCAGTAACTATGTGCATTTTTGTCTGAATTAAAACTTCAGCAAAAGATTTAGATGAAAAGTCGATAGAATGACATCGACAAATATCGCCATCTATGACACTACCAATTCGTCGGTTGTGAAATACATGCCAATAATGCTGGCCCAGCTGATTTGTTCTTACGAAAGTGGGAAAAAAATGTACTCTGCCGTTATTTCCACAACTGTTTCGGAACGATCAGTCGAATCTTCAATATAATGAACAGAGGACTTGATGAGGATGCGAAACTTTTACAAGATCCAAACAAATTGTATGAATACCTTTTGGACAATATTGAAAGCATGAATCAAAGTCTCACTGACGAAGCAGATTTTCTTAACAACGATATTAAAGCCTGCCATGAACATATTGAAAAGATCAAAGAAAAATTCTTGAAAAAGATTGAAGAATTTTCGAAGAAGCTTGAAGACATTCGTAGACAAAATGAAGAACTATCAGGAGCAAATAAGAATGTCTTGGATGATGCTTCGAGCAAAATTAATGACCTGTTCGAATCAAAACGATATACGGAAGGTTAGTGTAGATAATTCGCTCGACATAGGCGATTTAACTTTTTTGCTTTTAAGCTCTAGAAGAATATCGAGCATATGAAAAACGTTTCAACGAACGCAAAAGGCTGAAAAATGAAATGCTCAACTTCCGTCGAAATGAACAGGATATCGATCGATTCTTTTCAACGAATTCTCCACTAAACGAGCCTCCGGTACCATCATCAAATCCAGTACCATCTGCCACTAACACGATGTCTGTGGAGATCGGCGACGAAGATGATGAAGTATATACTCCTAAAAAACAAGAACTACGTCAAAAAAAGAAACTTGACAAAGATGATTTTGGGAATGAGGATGACGGCATGAAAACAGAAGATGCACAGCAGCATTTGTAAGGTTTAACATTAGAATTTTACAACATTTATGTACTGCTTCCATCATTCAGATCAACTTTTGGAATTCGTTCAAATCGCGTAGATAAACAGTCGCAACCAACACTCACGCTAGCTAATACTAACACGTAAACTTAGATGCAATAAAATCTCTTCTTTCGAAGTGTAGCGAATGAAAAATGAATTTCATCTTAGGACAGTCAATAATCCATCTTCGACATCAAATTCAACTGTTCAACCAAAATATACCATAAGCAACAGACTACGATCGACATCGAGTAATACGAAACAATCATCGTCCAATCGTAACCTTTCTGCTGCTTCTTCCACTAAAAATAGCCAACTAGAACCTCTAAACATGAAACCGGGTATATATCAAAGTTTAATTGATAGAGTTATACTCACAAATTTATTACATTTCGCTTTTGATACAAACCACGAATATACTCCATTGTTTCGTTCTAGTTGTTCTATACAAACTTGAAGACAATCATTTTCTGTTGATGACTTGCACGACGAACGACATTATCCTATTCAAATGTCAATGTAATCGATTAGATCGATGGCGTTTAGACTTGATCGAGCGACGTACTCATAGTACTGCTAAGCTCGAATGGCACGACGGCTTGATCATATCGATGGGTTCGATTGACAAACAACAAATCTATATGTTCACTGAAAAAGGATTTCATACTTTTTATATTCGATCTGATCGTCGCGGTATATCACGGATCTTGCCACGAGGTAATGATGATGGGTCAGATATTGGTAATTATTCGTACAATTCGCCTGAACGTGGAATTGGTCTTGTTCACGAGAAACATATGTATCATATATTTTTAAATCGTAAAAGTCGTTGGACACTATCACAATATTTACTGGATACTGTTGCTCATTTGTATAATTATGACTTAGCAGCGTTATTTCCCGATGTTGAACGTTTTATTCAATTTTGCATTACTGATAGAACCATGAATTTTCTCGTGCAATTGTCGGATTCATCGTATGCTGTTGTATTTTGTTCAGCGAATGACTGTAGTGTCAATGACTCCCTACGACCAGTTATTTTACCCAATGCTCATCAACCATTAACAATCTGCCCTGTTTTTATTTCGGCCAGAAACGAATACCACTTTTACATCAACGATCCATCCACTGATACTCTACATGTAATCAATACCGATGGATATCTATATCACCATCAAGTAAAAGCTTATGCGATATGTTATGTGCGAGAAAGCCAAGAATTATTGATTGTAACAGAAAATTCCATATGTTCGATCGATATCAATTGAACAAATTTTTATTTTTAAAAACAAATTTCTCTGATGTATCAAAATAGTTTTGTGCTTTTTCTTACATCATTAGCTGAGACACATCTGTGAATGTAGAGCGTATGTACTTTTTTTAAAAGCATGAAATCAAACGAAGCAACGTGGGATCTCGATCTATCGTCTAATGCTAACGTCGGTAAATAATGACGAAGTCAAAGAATGAGTTTATTTCATTAGGTAATTAAGCAAAGAGAAAAAAACGAAGTGCACACGAATATGTGAAAATGAAGTCTACGGTTTCCACGGCTTCTCCGAAGCACTGCTTAGATTTGAACGTTCAGAAGCAACTGACATACGTGAACTTTGTTTGGAAACGGATGTCAATGGACGTGACAAACGTGAACTATTATCCTGTGGTAATAAGATTTTTTCTAACTGTTGGTTTAGGTCTTCAATATCATTTTGCGTGAATTGTTCGCGTGCGTCAAATGTAATCATTGGACCTCGAGCTGGTTGTATGGTACTTGCAAGTGATTGACCAACAGGAGCTTCTTGACGAGTACTGCCTGTTGATTGTGGACGCTTTGATTTCGCGGAAGACGTTCGTGATGTGCTTGGTACTGTCCATGATTGTGGACAAGTGCCAGTCAAAAGGCCACGAGAAAATTTTTGAACAGCATATTTCAAACCTAGAAGATATGCGTTGATTTAATAATCGAAAATCATTTTAAAAGTTGAAATGTACCTCCTGAAAGCAAGAAGATGTTATTGTAGCCACGTTCCATCATCACTGTTGCAGCTTGCGGAGCAATTCGTTCATCTTCATCGTACAAGACGATAATTTTGCCCTTGTGATTTTTCTACAAGAATATATCAATATCGTCTTATGAAGTGTTTTGTCACGCGAAACTCTACGACTTCCTCGACTCATGTGATGAGTGTATGTGAACAAATCTATTTATATAGGTTGCATAATCATACGTAATAATAGAAGAGCTCAGTCTACATGTATTTCTTCAAAATCCTACACTCTCTTAGTTGTCATTATGACTGTTTTGCCATCGAGAGCACTTACGTAGAGAAGCAATTCTCTTGATTCGTTATTTGAGCAACGTGAAAGCATTGCAGCTGGATAATGATGGGCTAAAACGCAAATCAGAAGTAATTATTTCATTTCCAAAACTAACCCGATTACCCGAGACAATATGGTTTGCACGAAATTCGTCTTTGTCACGAAGATCAACGATTAAATACGGCCGTTCATCATACTCTAAATTCATCTGTTCACTCATTGGAGTCTTAGGCGTGATAGGTGTAGTAGAAGCACGACTTTGATAATTTCTATTTACATCCATTTCCCCAACACCACGAATAACACTAAGGAAACATATGCTAATTCTATCGTTTGTATTTTCCGAAGAACAATACCTTTGTAATGTTGATCGTTGGGTTTCAACACTCATCTGACTGTCTTGCGTTTGAGGTCGATCGAAATCAGTTAATGTACGATCGGATGCAATTGGATCTAGACAAGAAATTAATGTTTATTTGGACATATCTTCGTCAAGATAGAATCTCACCCGTATCCGTCGGTTTCGGTGTTTCAAGTGCATTGATTTCGGCGACTTGAACGATCTAGAATTGACGAAAGAATTCATCGAGATATTAAAAAGCGGAAATCTCTGCTGAACAAACCAATTGAACAAGTGTTGATATTTTCATCCGTTTGAATATTTCGCCTGCTTGTTGCTTGCTCGCTAAATAGAAAACCACTTTGCACATGTTAGCTAACGGCAGACACTAGTTACTTACAAGCACGTGATTCTTCATTGCGTTTGATGAATTTTGTCAAACTATCCCCTGCAAAACAGTTGAAAAGGCGCGTCAGTGTTTGAAGTCTCAAGAACAAACAACCTGTGTCAAGCGTTGATTGAACATTTTCGTATTTTGGATTGCGCGGTATACGTTTTTCCAATGGCTAGAACAAAAGTCGCAATAATAAATTATCAATGACCTTATTTGATTTATTTTACATGAAGTGGTGGTTTCAAACGCTTTGATGTTATTACTGACATTGCTTCGCGATAATTTCGTAGTTTATACTCAGCTTCTGTTAAACAATGCTTTACCGTTTGTATTAATCATGTATTACATATATACTCCTCTACCATAACGGTGAGGCATTGTCAAGGCACAACCCTGCTTTTGCATCTTATTTCATATGAGTTGCTATTTGTTCGAGAAGAAAATTTCATGATTTAGTACATAAATTTACTGCAAATATCGGTTATCGAAGTGGTTTTTGATTAAAATGTAGAAAATATAGATGTCGCTCTTTTTGGTCTGTGTAAATAAGAAATAATAGCTTATAGTAAGCAAAGCCAGTTGGAGTTGGATTGTATTTCTTATCCCATTTGTTTTATTTATTTCGCTGATTTCATTTATTGAATGCAAATCTTTAATACACATCGGCAGATTTATCTGTTCTATATCTCTTAAGAGAAATACTATATAAACGGACAGTGTTATGGTGTTTGCTGTTCTGTTTTTTTTTGCATGTACATCTTTTCGTTAATCATTCTTCCATGTGCATCATGCCCATCGAAACATGTCAAGGACAACCAGAACAAAAAATTTCTCTTTTCTTTCTTTCTTTCTTTCCTCTTTTTCTCTTTTCCATTTTTGTGAAAGAAAAAGAGTAGTGATGTATGTGCGTACGCGTGCGTAAGTTGTAGTACTCGTATTAGCGTACACAATGTATGATCTGTTGTATAGATGTGTTCGCATACGTATAACTTATATGACTTGTTCTCTCTTTTTTTTAATTCGCCACATTCACGATCGCGAATAACGTGGTGAACCGGAATCTTACAACAAGGTAAAATTGAATAAATTTTTGTTTGTCCTTGATGTTATTGACACAAAATAGGAATAATAACAAACAGATGCGACATAGGGCAGTTGTTTATTATTGACAGGGATACTCGTTTGTCAATTGATACCGGTCGAAAGGCATATGTTCTATTCCAGAATAGATATTTTTCTTGAATAATCAGTCAACAGCGACAGAAAGAGAAAGAGAAGAGCAGGAAAACTTTAAAAAAAAAAGTAAATGTCATTAATTTTCTCTTTTGCAAGCGAGGCAACAGCAGTAGCAGTAATAAAAAGATAGCTTTCGAGCTGACACATCACTTCAAAGCGCACAACAGTCAAAAGCGATTGTTTGCTAATCACTTGCTCTGTGTGCAACCTTTCGTGAGCGCGGAGAAGAAAATATTTTTTTCGATTGGCAAGAAGGAGCGAAATTTCTATATTGATACTATTAAATGTAATGAGAAATCAAATTATTAGATAAAAACCGCTTGATATCTTGAGGAAAAAAGCACAAAATCTATTATATAAAATGAGTCATTATGTCTCAACCATCAAGTAATTATTTAAGAATCAGAGACGAAAGAGAAATGTGCATAGGACATTCGTCATTTCTTTTCTTTTTTCTTGCTTATACTTTACTTCTTGTACATATGACATCCTGTAGGACAGAATACAATTCGCCGTAGAACAAAATGAAACTATACGAAAGAGATGTTGATGGATAAAATAACCCTGAGTTAAGTATTCTCTAACAGTTAAGTACATTTTCTAAACATCAGTTCAAATCTATTGACATTAAAAAGTAAATCTGTTCGATGAGCATTACAACTATTATTTTTCTTTCCTATCTTCTAATACATATGCATTATATAATAACCACTCGATGTGTTTTAAGATCTTTTCAGTCTAGATAATAAAAATTCGTGGATTGTACGAAGATACTTGTTCGTATTCATGTGCGCAGATTGTCCTTTTTTTGGCAATGTTTTAGATTTATTGAAAATTTATCGTCATGTCAGCCGATTCCGACCAACATCGACCGTCATTTCGCTTTCGTGATAAATTTTCGCGTTTTAAGAATCGTGTGAAAGATAAAATCCGAGATAAAGCAATCAAACACAATGTTACCCTCTTCGTCCATCATAACTTGACAACAAACGACACACACGATAGTTATTCTTCGAGTTCTCACCACGGTTTTCGTGATCGCTACCATCATTACAAAGATGCGCTAAAAAACAAAACACATTATGAATCGATCAAACATAAAATCAAAGATAAAATCGATGATACATTCGATTTAAATGATAATAAAACTTATCCGAAAGGTTTTTATGATTCATTGTTTAGTCCTGAAACCGAGAATGACGTCTATTTACAAACGGCCCTTATATGTCTATGGGTTATCGCCCTTCTATGTATAATACCGACGATTATTGTCATATTTTTACCAGCGAGAAAGAAAACTCGAACAACAACGAGTACAAATATGATATTTTTTCATGTGTTTCTCTGTGAACTTTGTTATCTTACTTATATTTTATTGGCAATGATAAACGTCGGAAAAGATTTTCGTCTAGGATCATTATTTTGCGATATTGCAAACTATGGTACGTAGAAATTTGCATTCCTAATTCCTTTCAAGTAAATCAATATTGATCATTTGATTTGATGAAATTGTTTTGAAGAAATTCGATCTTGTGATGAGAATTAGTTATTCAATCGAACAGAATTGAGTATGAAGTGATGATGTGCTAGTGGCGTATGTCAGCAACGAAAGAAACAGCTTATTATGCAAATATGCCATTAAGATATTCCGTACGTTTTATCGCAAAAATATGTAAACACGATTACACTCAAGCATTTATTACAGCAGAACCAATGTTTGTACCTTGAATTACTCTAGATAAATATAATATGGATAAAAATCCTTTTCCAAACAACATTTGGTCGATGTAATCATTACGACCAAGATAGGATTATTTTCTTCCCAACGAAAGTATAACGTAACGAGTCGATGACATTTTTTGAGAATAATAAGACGATTAGTAATGTTTATATTCCTAAAGTTCGAATAGCCAATCCTCTTCGCAGACGATGAGCTGTATATCATGTTTTTTTGATATTATCACAAGGCCGTTCGTACTCGGAGACATCCAACGCATGCTGTTGTTCTCTGAAAGAACATCTGCGCAAGATATGATTTGTAAACAATGATAGAGTAGATGATGCGACCAGTATCAAAGCCAAATTTCGAATAAAGAGACTTTTTTTTAAATATCTAGGTATGTATGTTACAATTCCGATTATGCAATTCGCTTTACTCTTTCTTTCGATCGAACGTTTGTCGAAACATTTTGATTTGTCAATGACCTGTTTGAAGATTTTCACAAAACCTTACTTAATCCAACTGATTCTCTGTATTATTTGGATTGTGCTCATTGCTCTACTTGTGACATTTATGTTTATTAAGAAGCAATTCTCATTCAATTTTATCAAAGACAAGGCTTATAGTTTAGCACCACCTCTTGTGGGCGATGTTGTACATAAACTCGCATCGCGTCGACATCATTGCTCAATCGATGGTCGATTATCATCAATATTGAAAGCTGTTCTCATTATCTTATTTATTTTTTTGATTGTTAAACCGATACTGTTTTCTCTGGGTTTCAATCTGTTATCACCATTTTGTTGTCGTGGAAAAAGAAAAAAAAGTGAAAAACAAGGTGATCGTCGAACGACAACATTAGTAACAATATTTCTTTTGTTAAATTTATTTTTCTCCTTTCCATTCTATTTTGTGTCAATGTTTAACAATATATTAACACGTATTGATTCGACGAAAGACACATTTTCGCTGGTACTAAAAATATGTTTTATATTACGAATAACAAATATTATATTTGAATGTTTGGCATTTTACATATTCGAGAGAAATTCATGGAATTTATTGAGCAAGTTATTTTATTATATTACATGCAAGAAGTTTGAAAGTTTCAAGTCATTATCGGATGATGATACAATGTATACGAAAGATCCTGCTGTCATAGCTTTTATCAACAATACACGACGAGAGTCGAACGAGGACGACGACGACGATGACAATGATGATGAGGATGATGAGGATGATGACGACGACGATGGAGTTAAAATAAAGAAGAAACAAATTACTACGAAAAAGTCAAAGAGACCTGTCAAAAGTAGACCGAAAGAAGACGAAGAACATGAGGACGAAGATGAAGATGAAGATGACGGTGCTTTTACTAAAAGGAAGAAGAAGCCATCGGTGACCAAGAGGGAGGAAACAGAAGATGAAAGTGATGATGCGAAGCTTGTGAAAAAACGAACCAAGAAGTCAAGAAAACAAGTTTCATACGATGATGACGATAAAGATGATGAAGACGATGATGATGATAGTACCAAACGTACCACGACGACAATCAAAAGAAAATCTCGGACAAAAGAGGCTGTGATTGATGATAAAGAAGAAGATGATAGTGAAAGCGATCAAGAAGAAGAAAAACAAACAATAACAACGGTTAGTAGAAGAAAGGCACGTCCAAAAAGTAAGGAAGAAGACGACGAAGATGAATTAGCCATAATTAGACGAAAATCAGATCACAAAATTGAAGAAGATGATGACGATGGAGTTCCGATGAATACGAGACGGAAATCGCGTCAAAAGATTAAAGAAGAAGAAGAAGAAGACGATAATGCGGCTCCATCCAAAATAAAACGAAATTCTCATCTAAAGGTTAATAATGATGACGAAGAAGAAGAAGAAGAAGAAGAGAAAACTCCACCTACGACAAAGCGAAGATCTCATCCAAAATTTGCGATTGACATTGAGGAGGAAACTGTTAAGAAACCCAAATCGCAAGCACATACAACAGTAACTCGGCAAGAGAAAACGATTAGAAAGCCTAAAACCAAACCGCATCATGACGATGGCGACATTCGAAGGTCAAATGGAAGACCTACTTCAGCTACTGCCCATCGGCATACCGACACAAAACGTCATTCTATAAAACGTGCTTCTACTCCAGCTGAAAGTGATGCCGAAAAAGCCTCGATCGTCAGTCATACATCGGCTACAAATATCAAACCTATCAAAACAAAAGCACATTCATCGTCGACTGAACAAAAGCGAACTAGAACTGCTTCAACCGATCCTAAACGATCCCATCATCGAACCGAATCTTCTCCTACACCTCGACCAAAAACGGAAAACCACCATCATCATCATCATCATACTTCTACTGCGAAAAAGAAAAAACATTCGAAAGAAGACAGTCGTACTCGAATACTTAAAATGTCCGACGAAGTATAGTTTTGTTGAGAATGCTTCAAATCTCAAGTTTTTTTAAAATATTCTGTGATGATTATCAGTTCTATTGAAATCTCGCAATTGTTATTCAGTGAGCCGTTCTCCCTCATTCATCTTTTTACATTTTTTTTTGTATATTGATTTTTTAATGTTTAATAATATTCACAATTCTAGCGAAGGAATAGCAATTAAAAACTTATCGAGTATCATCAGCAAGCAGGAGATAGCTTAAGAAGACCTTCAAGCAATTTGATTAGTATGCAGATTGGTTTTTGTAAGAAGAAAAAGGATTGCTGTTGGTGTGAAACTTCTTGTCTTATATTCAAGGATGTTGCCATTGTGATGAAGAGATCATTTGTAATCTGCTTTTTATAAATCGTAATCGTATCGAACCGTGTCAAGTAAATAGTCAATGCGGCATAGAAATAACGAGCGACACTCATGGGAAGTTTCGGTATCACACAAACTCTTGTTTTTTATTATTGTTCCTACTCGCGCACATAAAACACGAAGAACAAGAAAAGAAAAAGAGAGAGAAAAAAAACTGAAATCAAGGAAGCACACAAGACAATTTTGCGCGGTAGCAAAAAGAAAACAACTGAAACAAAAGACCAAAAGAGACAATAATCAGTGTGGTGATGTTCCTTTCCATCATGAAATAAATAATCATAGAAAGAAGAAAATGTTTTGGGTTTTTTATGGAATGTAGTTAGTTTCTTATTCGCAAAGTTCTTTTTCTGAAAGCGCCGTACGACGAATGGACGGAACAACCGACCTACTACATTACTGTTCTATACATGTATGTTGTCGTTGTCAAACAAATAACAGCAAAGAGAGAGAGAAACAAACAAAAATGAAAGTTCAACAGCAACAGGTAAACGCTCGAGTATTTATCTTTGTTGAAGATAGATTTTGCGCGACATGAATTCTTCATTATTTAATTCCCTAACAGCACGATTAGCATCATCAGAGGTTCCACAAGCAACAACACCAAAGCCTGTTGGTTTACCACTACCATCACAGCGAATTTTCAATGTTTCTGGAATAGGAGAATAGGGTTGAAGAAAATCTAGGATTGCTTCACGTGTTGCACGATAGGCAACGTTTGATAGGACCAGAATGCGACCAACATATTCATTTAGTTCACTTGGTAATGGTGGTAAATTAGTTGCAGATGCAACTGGTGGCGTTGAAGAACGCCGATCATTGAGCACCTTCTTATCATCACCTGGTTTCATATCCTGTCCTTGATCATCTTTTGGTATTCGTGGCGAATTGCGAGTATAGCCATATCCACCTGGCAAAAAAATATGTTTTAGAATTGGTATTTGTTTAGTCACAACGATTACCTTTATTGTTGTGTCCACCTTCCCATCTTGGTCTTTTCTCATTTCGTCGATCGTCATCTCTTTCGTAAAATTGTGGGTAACGTTTGACATTTGTTTGTGGAAAATGTTGATTCATTGTTGCAGCCGATGCTAAATCATTAGCTGTTAGTATTGGTGTAGTGGGCGCATTTTGAAATTCACTCAATGACATGGGTCGTAAATCTAACGTTCGTCCATGGAACATCTGTCGATTTTTCGTTTGAAATGCATGCTGACATGATTGAGGATCGGGAAAATGAACGAAAGCTTCACCAGCACCGCGATTGAATCGATCAAATACTAATTTACAACCATCGATTTGAACAGGTATACCAGCAAAGAAATCATAGATTTGTTTTTCGGTAGTTGAATAAGGAATATTTCTTAACCGAAGACAAACAATTGGTTGATCTGAATTATTATTCATCCCTGTTGAATAGGATGAGTCCGATGTGCGACGATACGTAGTTGGTGTCGGCAATAAATGACCAGAGTTGCCGTTACGATTGTTGCTGAGAGTCGGCTCCGGATGCAGCAGAGGTGGCCGACGAGCGGGACGATCCGGTCCACGTTTTAATGAATTTATTTCATTTTCCATATCGGGTTTTGTCATCCGATACATTTCAATTATTGCTGAACCTAAAACAGTTTGAAAATGCGGTGTTTTCTTCTCTGTAAATGGCAAGTATTTACCCATTTGTTCTCCATTGTAGAAGAAAGCCTTTTCTGCGTCAAGTTCGGTTTCGAATTCCACGAATGTTGGCCCATTCGTTGTATCTGCTTCGATAAATATTCCACCGGGACGATTAGTCACATTACAACCGGCAAAGAATCGTTTGACATCTTTTCGTTCGTAGGATTTCGGTAAACCTGTCACGCGAATGCAATTTTTCACTGCCGTAGCAGGTGCTTTCTTTGCAAGCGCTGGAACAAACGAATCAACAGCTGATGCAAATGTGAATTCATCGATCTTCTTTATATCTAATAGTGAATTGAAACATTGCATCCGACCATCTTGTGCCAGAAGGTCTGCAAGATCTTTATTCGTGTGTAAACGCAGAACAATTTCGCCTGTACGTTGACCATTTTGATCATTGAGAATTTTGATATCCGAGAGATTTAGTTTATATTTGGAAAACAATTGTTTTATGTGATAATATGAATATCCAACAGGAATATTTTGAACACGAACATAACAGTCCTCAGCAATGGGATAGGAATTTTGAGTATCTTGGTTATGATTGCTAAATAAATTTGGACTTTGTTGAAAGAGAAGAGCAGCTCGTTGTTGCTGTTGCTGTTGTTGTTGTTGGTGTTGAAAAGCATTTGGGTACTAAATAGGAAAGGTTCAGTATACTTTTTCAAGATTTGCAGGATTATTTACTTGTGGATTCATCCATCCATTTGGTTGTTGTCCAAATTGTGCGAGAGGATTCGGAACCATTGGCAATTGAAACGGGAATTGTGCTTGTTGTGGCTGTGTTTGCTGATCTTTTTGGCCTAACGCTGCTAGTAAATGTTGAAAAGCCAATGGATTTGTTCCATTCTGTGCTGCAGCTAATAACAAAAGATTTGTCGGATCGAGTGCTGGTGTTGGCTGTTGCACTGGTAATTGCTGTTGAGCTGTCTTTGCTTGAAATTCGGCAAGGATCGATGAAAGAGCGTTGGCTGACGGTATTTTTGATAGATTTGAAGTTGCTTGATCAGTTTGTTCGACAAAAGCTGGTTCTACAGCAATAGTACTTGCCTTAATTGATGGAGCTGCACGAGCTTGTGCAATAACTTTTTGCATTTCAGATTGGCTACTTAAAAATAACTTGATCGGATTTCCACAAATACTTCCTGTTTTCGTCATTGCCTGTCGAGCATCATCGTCCGAGATAAAATTAATGAAAGCATCACCTTTTTCACCGCCGACTAAAACACATCTGCACTTATGGACATTTCAACATGATACTCTACTCACCGACATGCACACCACCGTCAGGAATGTTCAAACCGATAAAGAATCGGCGCTAGAAGGAAACATGGGTTTAGTTATATTTCAAAGACAGAACGGCAAAGTGAGAAAAACTTACAATATCAATAGCACGTGCCTCATTAGGTAAATTTTGTAATCGGATAATAATATTTGATGATGAAGCACCAGTAGACATAACTCGAGCTTTTTTCCTCTCTTATCAATAAATGATGATCAATAGCACCATGAAAATGAATAGCTTTTCGTTTGTTTTCTTTTTTTATCTTAGAAAAACACAATCACTGTTCTGAAAGAGAAAAGTCAGAGCATGGCAATTTGGCAGTTGAATTGGAGAAAATAGAGGAAAAAACAAAAGACACGCCATAGTTTCATTATCTTTAATAGTTAATATCTTTCCGAGAGAAAAACGGTTAAGTTATAACAATGCCATTTCGATTCATGCAGATGATGATTAATGATATACGTGTATATCTCTCGGGTGAAGATGATGTACTGAGTATGAGGCTCAAGATTGAGAAGAGAAAATCGATCTGTCTGATGCAATAAACAATAGAATTAAACGCAGTTTATCTCGTATTACTATATTTGAAATATAAAGCAAAAAAAAATTCTCTGATTTATTCACAATAAATCTGACGTTTATTTTTTGCTCCACTTACTTCCGTACATAATGAATATTCTCAAGAAAATATATCTGTTTGTCTTTTCGTTTGAAATCTCTCCCAGGATATGAAATATTCTTGTTTATTCTCATCAAATGGTGTGCAACCATGAAGAATATCATCAATAGTTAATTCAACAAATAATTGACAAGGATTCGTCGTCGATAAGCATAAAGTTATTAGTTGTTGATCGTAGTCGTTTAAAAATATCATTTGTTCATCGAAACGTATTTTATCTGACGGTAATTGCTGATTAATTCGTAAAATTGTATCTGAAATAATCTCGTTTCTAAAAAAATTTTCTCTCTGAAGATGAAAATTTAATCTTAATAATGGAAAACCAATTCCAATACCTAACCATTTCACGTAACTTTCTTTCAATGACCATAGACGATAAAAATTCTTCGGATTTCTTCCTATGAGTTCGAATTCGTCGAATGTAAACTTCTTTCGAAATAAATCATAGTTTTCTTGGCGTAATCGATTACTTTGATAAAGAATTGTATCACAACCGATTTGACCGGCGAATGTCCCAGCAATCGAAACTAATTGATTGTGGTGCGAAAGATTAAAATCAAACAAATGATTGGACTTTAGATAAGGACGATTGGATTTTGTACGTTGAATTTCAAAAGATGAACTTTTCTCTTGAAAGACATGAGATAAGAGATAGCGAATTAGTAATTGCCCAATCAATGCGAATTTTACATCACGTTCGTAAGCATATTCATCGATCCGTTGGATTTCTCGACTAGGAAGGCAACGATTAGCGTAGACCCATTGATCTCGTGTTGGTTTCCAATGATGACAATTGAAGTAGAAACGGTACATTTTGATTTGAAAAAGAAAACAAAAAAATTGTTAAGGTCAACCGAAGATAAAAGAAATTAACCAATCAGAAACGAGTTTTATTCGCTAATCGTAATGCATTAATGCATTTGAAATCAATGGATAAATGTAGACTTCGGTTTTCGCTCTAATTAAAGCCAAAGCGCGGCTTAATGTTGAACAAAAAAAAGTTATTTGTGTGACTCAAGAATTTGTCGTCGACATTCTTCAATAATTCGGCCAATTTGCAACGAATTTTCGAGTGTCATCAATGGATGCTCAGTATTTTCATTCAAAATTTGTTCTCGACATGCCATTGCTTCATATCGTAAACCAGCTGAATGTTCAAAGTTGGTCTTTTTCATTGTTTCCGGCAAAGGATCCTCAATGATTTGACCACTTGGTAGAATAATTTGAGTTGGACTCCAGAAATGGCTCGGAATGCTTACAACACCTAGGATAAAATTTGATCCTGCACGAAAACACTCGTTATCAGTTCTATACCTTCAGTTCCATAGATTTTTAATGAACTAACTGATTCAATATCTTCTCCAAGACATGTTAACACAGCCATTCGATTATCTTTGTATAACAATGTAATAGAAACCATCCGATCGCTTAATTGATTTTCATGTTCTTTAGTATGACCTACGGCTCGAATCGATTCGGGCTCTTCATGGTTAAATGCAATCAAAGCAGCTTGAATTGGATAGCAACCAATCGCCATTAATGTGCTCCAAATTCCCACGGAGTTCAGATTTCGAACACTGAAAGTGCATTCTACAAAAGTAACCTAAGATATTCAAATAAAACCAGAAGATTAGATTGAAAATAAACCCGAACAGATTTACTTTTCCAATTCGTTGAACTGCATCACGTAAATAATTATAAATAGGAAAAAATCGTGACCAAATGCCTTCCATAATAAAACTCTTAGTTTTCTTCGCGGCAGCAATAATTTCTTCAATTTCACTTGTGTTCATTGCTAATGGTTTCTCACAAAGAACATGTTTTCGATGATTCAATGCTTTAATGCATAAATCTCGATGAACTTGTTCAACCGTACCGATATAAACAATATCAACGTTGGCATCTTGAAAAACTTCGTCTTGCGAGCCATAGATTTGCACTTTAGGGTCAAGTTGAAATTCGCGACCAAAATCTTCTGCTTGACTTTTACTTCGAGAGCCCACAGCAACAATACTATGTTCCTGGGGATCGCAAGTCAATAAAGCAAGACAAAAATCTTGACATATACGGCCCGTTCCAACAATTCCCCATCTCAATTGCATAGTGTTTTCGTTTAGAATGAAGAAAAAAAAACGAATCGCTGATATTCATGATGTCGGTAGTTACTAAGAACAGATAACAACGATTGTGTCGCTTTTCAATGGGATTTTGAAACGAAAATTTAAAGATGATTAGATCAGTCTTGATTGACTTTTTTTCATAACGATCATATTGATCATCTCTAATTGCTTTTATTCTAAATTTCCGAAACGACTTCGTAAACAATATTCTCCTATTGAATTATCCAACGATGAAAGAAAGAAGAAACTTTTTCTTTTTGTCGTTGGAGGCAAAAGATCTTCGTTCGACAATAGCTCTTCGCATCATACTCATCATTTATTTTAAGAAAGAGCATCACTTGATTTTTGTGCCTTGTCATCTGGAATTAAATTTAGTTTTCATGTCAGAAATAATTCAATGTTATATATTCATCTAGTATAGCATGTCAAAAAGAAAATTGCTCATTTGTATAGAATGAGAAGAGAGAAGGCGGCTTGGTCTCTCGTGTATTTTCTCTTGTGAAAAAAACGGGAAAATATTGTCTCTTCTCGATAATAATCAATCAGTAAAGTGGATGAACGTTTCTTTACGAAGAAGAGAAGAAAAAAAAAGAAAGAGGATGTTGCATGTTGAACGAAGCGACTTACAATGAGATTGATAATAGTAACAAGAAGATTTTCTCTCATCGTGAGATATTATTGATGATGATGATGAGGAGGAGGAGGATGAAGGAGAATGCAAGACTACAAGTTAAATCCCCTTGTCGCATTGTGCGAATTCGAGAAGAAAAAAACTCTACTCAATCGATGAGCTCTAATCAGCCGGAATGAAAACATGCAACAATCATATTTCTGATTCTCGCCAATGTGTCAACGACTAAACGGTTAGAACAGTGTCAACAGATTTTTATTGTTTTTTTTCTCTTCTTCTCCTTTAAACCAATATGAAGATGGCAATGATGAATTCCACTATTTATTTATTTGTTATTGTTCTTGTACATATATGCATTACCGAAGCTATCTTGCATATACCTGTCGGTAAGATTTCTAATGGAAAATGTCAATATTGTCGTTTATGAAACGAAAAAATTAAGTTTGCTGAGTGCAAGAAAGCGAAAATGATCGAATTTCGAACGATGATCGATTAGATACATAATGACATTTTCAACTACTATGCACAATTTTCTCTCAGTTGTTTTACTTCAAATCTTTTTCTCTTTGATAGGTCTAATGTTCAATGGCTATCGAGGTGATCTCTATTCACGTATCAATCCCTATGCCCGTCAATATGTTCTCAATAAGCTCGAACGACGTTTTCAATACAATGTGACCGAATTGATCGATACCTTAGACTTGAATGATACTGATATTGATACTTGGTCAACTTTATGTACTCAACTATCAAATGGAATCATGGCTATGATTGGTCAAGTTAGCCATGAAGACTTCGATTGGTTAGCTGGATTTTGCTCCGCGTATCAAGTGCCATTTCTTGGTTTAAACAATCATAATAATCGTGAAAATAACTATTACATGTCATTGATACCCGACGTTCTGCCAGCTCTACTGGCATTCTTACGCCGCTATCAGATTAATCAACTAGTCTATCTCTATGATGATACCATTGGAGCATATCGACTGAAAAACTTAATGGAAATGCAAACGACAAACAAAATTCATAATTTAAATATAATTAGCCGATATCTTGGCAATCCCGATGATTCTTATGACCTCTTGCAAAACGTTGAAATGATGACCCATGCTTCACCACGCGTATTGCCAATAACAAGTACAATATCGCGATCGCATGGACGATACATTGTGCTTGATTTTCAATCCTTAGAAACCTATCGAATTGTTATGGACAAAATCAAACACCGAGGAATGACCACGGCTGATTATCATTACATCATACTTTCATTGAATGCTAAACAATTGGATATGACTTATTTTCGATACGGTGGTGTCAATGTGACGTTTTTTGCTCTGCCATCTGATCCGAATATTCATGATAATCAAACCTTACACTCATACGAGACGTATCTCAATGCCACAAAGAACCTCGATGAAAAGAATGGTCCACTTATCGAATCCTTATTAATTGTCGACGCGTGGGAAACACTGTTACGAACAATCAATCGTATGCTCATCTCAGCAAACGAAACACGTGATAAATTGAAAGTCTTTCGACAAGGCCGATTCTACAATGGTCTAACACCTGGCATTGATTGCCGCAATAATCATATTCAGGCATGGTCTGCTGGTCAAATCTATTTAGAAAACCTACTGAATACTACATTTGATGGTTTAACTGGCCATATACAATTTTCGAACACAACAGGACAACGAACGAATTACACATTGGATGTCTATCGTGTAACAGGAAATGCCATGCCAAAACATATTGGATACTTCCGCGCACCGAATACACTTGAGGTATTTATTATTTAGATTGGTGTTAGAAAATTGAGCATGGACCTTGATTGATCATTTGATATTCATCACACATGGAATGACTGAGTAAATGTTATTAACGAAATTGAATGAATATTTCCCTGAGGAGGGAGACTGACATTTTCATTTTCATCGTGAAAGAACTAAGTTTTGGTTTTTCCATTTATTTTAGGTCACTGACGATTCGTCATTTCGTTTTCGGATGTCATATGATAATCGCACACGACTAATCGTCACTATCCTGGATGAACCATTTATGATGTTGAAGAAAAGTCGGAATGATACATTAACCATAAAGAATATTGAACGCGGTACTATTCTCGATCCATCGATGGTCGAAGGATTCTGCGTCGATCTAGCTTACGCTATATGTCATGAAAAACTACAATTACCCTACAAATTTCTCATTGAAACCAAATACGGTAATGAAGTACAAAAAGGTGTTTGGAATGGCATGATCGGTGCACTAGTTAATCGCGATGCCGATCTATCTATTGCATCGTTAACCATCAATGGTGCTCGAGAAAAAGCAGTAGATTTTTCCAAGCCATTTATTGACTTAGGTATATCAATTATGATACGCAAGCCGGAAAAACAAAAGCCAGGTGTTTTCTCTTTTATGGCACCATTATCCAAAGAAATTTGGATCTGTGTGATCGTGTCTTATTTATTTGTCAGTGCCATTCTATTTTTCGTCAGTCGAACGTCTTCCTACGAATGGTATTTCGAAAATGAAACCGACGTCGTACCACGAAATAAATTTTCCATGCAAAATGCACTATTTTTTTCCTTTGCCGCTTTCATGCACCAAGGTGTCGATCTTTTGCCCAGATCATTTTCAGGTATGTATTCATGAACATAATTTTATGACATAGACGTTCGTTTGTCTTTCAGGTCGAGTAGTCACAAGTGCTTGGTGGTTCTTTAGTTTAATTCTGGTTTCATCCTACACTGCCAACTTAGCGGCTTTCTTAACGGTCGAGAAACTAGTAACACCAATTGAAAGTGTGGAAGATCTTGCTAAACAAACGGAAATTCGTTACGGAACAGTCAAGGGCGGTTCAACAATGGCATTTTTCAATAAGTCGACATTGATTACATTTAAACGTATGTGGGATTTTATGCAGCAGCATAAGGATGATGTTTTCGTCACGTCCAATCATGAAGGGATTGAGAAAGTTCGCCGATCGAAAGGCAAATTTGCTTTTCTTCTTGAATCTACATTGAATGAATATGTTAATGAACGGTATCCATGTGACACAATGCGTGTGGGAGAAAATATTGATGCCAAAGGCTATGGTATTGCTACTCCACTCGGATCGGATCTACGCGAAGCGATTAATATTGCTGTATTAGAATTGACAGAAAGTGGATTTCTCGAACGTTTGAAACAAAAATGGTATTACGAACGAAGTGAATGTACCAATGTCGGCACAAAGGATTCAAAGCAAAGCACAGAACTGAATCTGGCTAATGTTGCCGGCATGTTCTATGTTTTAATTGTTGGCCTTGGTGCCGCGATGGTCATTGCATTTCTAGAATTCTTATTAAAAGCTAAAATAGATTCGACACGATTGAATCAGAATATACGCGAAGTTATGCGACGCAATCTACGAATTTCGATCACAGGCATCGATTTCGATGAAAAACAACAACATGCCGATTATTGGCCACTACAAGCACCATCTCAGACGAGTCACATTCATCCCGAAACGGAACGAACCGCAACTGTTTCAAGCACTTATGATTTAATGCGACAAGGAGACTCCAATGGTTATAACGAACAAAAAGATTTGACTTTCCGTGGTTCTAAGCGCGATAATATCTCTCATCTCTAAATACTTTTCTTTCATTGTTCATAATATATGTATACTGTATGTATTAATATTTTTTTTTAAATAGATATCTATTAATCTTCAATAATTTCTCGCGAATAAAAAGTTCAATCACACATTAGAAAGTATCCTTTTCTTGTTGTTGATTACACAACAACGCACTTTTCTCTCAGTTGAAAGAGAATGTCATTGTGTTTCATTCGCAATTTCTGGAAATCTCGGAGGATGTCTACATGACTGAGTATGTCTTAACAAGCGGAAAATTCAGCTTATGCTTATCTTATCGGACATTTTGTTTAGATAAGAAATTGAAGATGCGAATTTATTAGAGACTGAAATACGACAAATAATATTAATCGCCATTCGCGCCATCGTTTGCTGGTAATCCATTGATTTTGCGAGATAATCGAGGTCCGTTTGCTACTACCGTGTTTGCACGATCAGCTGAGACATTTTGTTCAAATGATTGTTGATTGATAAAATGAAAACTATATTGAGTGGATGTACTAATGTAGAGAATTGGAATCCAGATAACTGATGTTTTGGCAAAGCAAGCACATAAGAATGTTGTCAAGGGCGGGAGAGCATAATCTTTTCCTCGAAATGCCGAAACAAAGAATGTTATAGCGTAAGGCGTCCATGTGAAAATGAATCCACATGTTGTTATGATAATACCTAAAAATGAGGAAAACAGTTGCTTCGCGACCGAGAAAGCAATCGTTTACTTTTTACAATTCGCCGTTCCATTGCGATACGGCGTGCATTCAATGCGGTCTGAATTCCTCTCTCGATCTTTGAATGCATCCGCTTTAATCCTTGTACAGTAATCGTATTTGCTGTGATCAGAATAATTAATGGAATCAAATACACCACAATAAAGAGGAAAAATAGATATGATACATATGAAAAACGACGATCGTACCAATTGATGCAACACGACGTTCGAGCTCCCTAAATTTCAATGAATCGTAACAAGATACATAGCTGACCATCATTACTCACCTCCATGGTGTATTCATTCCATCCAACTAGGGGCAATATTGTCCATATGAAAGCGATAAGAATTGCAACGACGGAAATGATAACGCATTTTCTTGCCTGAAATTATTTGTAATGAACATTTAACATGGAATGATTTATCTTACTGTCACGTCTTTCGCTTTGAATGGTCGAACAATGATGTAACATCGACTAAGACTAACTCCGCAAAGTAAGTATGAACTTGAGCATCCGTATAAAAATGCAACCAAGGCACTAAATTGACAGCCAGCTCGTTGGTATAGCCATTGACAATAGATTGACGACGTGCCGGTTAATGGTAAAATTGTGCAGGAAGCGAAAAACCCTATTCCAGCAATGAACATGACGAATATATTCGATGGTGATCGAAGTTGCTTATATCGAACGAAACCATAAAGTAATGCTCCATTACAAACGATTCCAACAAACGAAGCGACACATAAGAAGATGCCAACAATACGCACGGGATTACAATCGATTGGCGTTGGACGACTCCAAAATAACGGATCATCAGGCGACAGACTTTCATCGATGATTGAAGAGTAATTGAACGACATGAATGTGCTCTGTCTGAAATGAAATGTGAATAACAAGGATGTCAATGTTTTCCTAGATAAGCTAAGAATACACAAAAAGAGAATTGCTGAAAACTATTTATTTATCTGTTCTGACAAAGAATTTTCTAATTCAATGTTCTTTTCCTCCTTGAGTGCGCTCACGGTGAAATTTTTAATAATTCTTCCACCTGGTGCCGAACACCTTTCGAACTCTTAATCTACGTTATAGTTCAATACTCTTCAACCGGAATAAAGAATCTCGTTACCGGAAAATCTCCGTCGGAGAAGAAGTTATCCAAGTGTCATCTATATCTCGTAGATCGACTTCTCTAGAGAATTTTCTCCATAACGGACAAGTGAAATGATTCAGTCATTTGACCTATTAGACACGAAATCTGAAATCTTGATCGTATAAAGAAGGAAATGAAAGCATAGTTTGTTTTTGAAGGGCCTACAAATTACGATATCGGATATTTGGCTCAATGGTTCTTTTTTCCGTGAGAGAAGTAACGAAGGGTGAAAATTACAGTAGTGGCTTGATACATGAGAAATCTGATACAAAGGACATGTGATGATGTAAAACCAGGTAATGGAACAATCCGTAATTTACACTTTTATTCATCTCATAGAAAATTCATGTCCCCTTAAGTAATTTTGACGACCTACGACGCACATCACTATTCTCTTTGTTTAGAAAAAAGTCTATGTCAATTTTCCACTTTGACTGTTACTGTTACGTAATAAATACGTTTGATTATAACAAATCGTAAGTTCTGAGATTAAGCAGTAAAATACTCATTTTCTTTCTTCTGATGAAAACCAAACACTTCAATTCCAAAAGTATTCATTAGCAATCGCAACGTAAAGGAAATTGTCATGTTTAAACAAAGTCTATTAGCTTATAATTAATTCCTTGATCATTCATTCGGAAGACTTGTTCGTACTACTAATCAGTACGTGAACCACCTACCTTCGGACAAAGTCCGTGCACTCAAGTTCATCGAACAAAAGCTTGCAAATTTCAATTCACGAATCAGTGACAATGTGTACTTGTTGTTGTTGCTATTAACTATTTTCTTTCCTATAATAACGAAACTCTATCTACTGAGTTGGAACGAAGTATTATCAAGTAACAGCGTTCTGCAAAATTTCCTCTGAGAATTCAACCACTATGCATGATCATCGTTATTTCACTTCATACTCCATAGAACTAATCACCTAAAAGCCGAAGATCACAAAGTTAATAGTAGTGTTTCTTATTTTAGGTAAGAGTAGACTTTTAACCGAATGAGTATTCCTAATTATAACACCATCTCGTATTCTTTTCATATTCGAAGCAGAATAATTAGATTTTTTCGTCTATTTTAGTAATAAATAACGACAAAAGAAAAAAGGAATTGACGCAAAGGTTCGTTCTATAACGATTGACGAGAAGAATATTCTTGATTGATGATATTGTACAGATTTACGATCACAAATCACGTTTTACTTCTTCAAAAGTGCAATAGTAGCAGCAGCAAGACCTAAATGCAGAAAATGAGCGTCTCGTCAACCAAAAAAACTTGAGAATTCTACCTCCAACAAGAAGTGCTCCCGCACCCACAGCAATACCAGCCCCGATATCTAAATATTATGGCATAGCTCAATATTTCAAACATTTTTATTTCCACTTACATCCTTCACGAGTCATTCGTCGTGTAATTTCATCTTTGAGGTTTTGGGCTTGATGATTTCCAGGCTGAACATGAAGAATAGCATCCAGAAATTTGATAGCCGTTTCGTATTCGTTCAGCCGTGCATTGCCTAAAAACACGCATGGTCTGTTCGATATGGTTTCAAGATTCGTTTCTTACCAACTGCTAAATAATACAAGTAATCACGTTTGTCTTCATCTTTGTTCGTTGAATCGTAGAGTTCTTTCAAAAAATGTAGACCTTGTCGCACATCGTTCTTATTTTTACTTCGAACAAGACAATAGGCAAAGGAGAATTTATTTTGATCGGTCACTTGGTTCGCTTCCTTGGCTTTTTCGTATACTGTTCGATACCGTTGAATTTCATCGGGTAGAACAATTTCCTCTAATAGTTTTTGACTTTCTGCCATGCTTTAATTGGTTCAAGTATATGAAAACGTTGAAATCAATCTAAATAAATATTGTTTATTAGCGAGTCAGTGACGAGTCAATAGATGAATCACAGGATGACTCATTCATGACGTGTATACAATTTATTGATGCTTCATCACCGGAAAGAAAGAGAACGCAGTAGACGCAACAATATTCGAGCAAAAACGAGAAAAAGGAGTGACAAAAAATATCGATAAAAAGCATGAGTATTTTGTTCTTCTATAGGTTTTACAGATCATTCAGTTATTATTGTATGGTCGGAGTAATTCTAAAACTTCTTCGCAGTTTTGAACTGCAGTGGAGATGTCTTCATGTTCGAGAGCAGATGCTGCATATCGACAAAGTTTCTGTGCTCGAGCAATGGTATCGAAAGGTGCATCTGAAATAAAAGATCAGATTGCTCTGAACATTTCATCTGTGAACAACTCACTAGAACTGCTAGCGCCATGGCCATGAGATACTGGAGATGGTATTTCTGATGGTGGTGTAATCTTCATTGGAGATTGTTTTTCCGCTAAAAGAAAAGAGTAGAAATAACATGGGCGGACGCTGTGAATACGCACGAGGTTTTGCCGGTGGAACACCAGTACCCGCACCGGCTTTTAGGTCACGAAAAATGGCCACTGCTCGACTTTTAGCAATCTTTCCCAGCGTAAGAAACTTGAAAACGCCTAAATGAACATTTTGAATATTTCTTGCAAATCCATTCTTACATCTTCTTTCACTGGCCCAAACACAGAAAGTACATCTGTGAGTCCACCCACAGTGTAATGTTTTCGCATTAATGACCGCAACTGTTCAGCATTTTTGTATTCATCATCTTCAGCTTCATTTGTTTCACCAACAAGAATAGTTACTAATTCTTCGATCGTTGTTTGACCAGTTGTCATTGACTTGATAATATCATCATTTGGATTATTTCTTTTTGTCTGAATTTCGCGAGACATTGCATTAGAATAGACTATGAAATATTTCGTAACTTACTGCTTCAAGATAATCAAGTACATTGGAAACAAATTGTTTATCTTTTTGATGTTTTAATGCTTCATTTGCAATATACATTAAACAATAGTATGTTATCGAGATGGTTTCGACATTCTTCTCATATTCTTTAGCAATACCAAAATGTTGCATTAATTTTACACGTAATTCCTGTGGAATTTGTGCTGCTAATGTCTAAGAAAAGAATTGTTTTATTTTTATAGCAGAATGTGTTGACTTACATCTAATTGAGACATAGTTATTAATAAACGGTTCTTAATCTAAAATGAAATGAAATGAAAGAAAAGAAAAAACCGTTGATCCTGTTTAACAGACAATGATTTTATGTTTTATGATAAAAAAATTCGAATAGAATATTAGAATTAGTCTACGATTCCATGCGTTCTGTCGCGATAGCAACTCGTGGATCAGTATTGCCACCTTGTGGTGGTGGTGGTGGAAGATCATCGCCACCAGTAATCTAAACGTGACAAAAAACTAATATTCAATAGACTGAATGTTCTAAACATACCAAAGTATCATCTTGAGCTTGTGGTGCACGTTCATCACCTTCAATTGCGGTTAAATATGCTGTAACGCGTACATCATCTAAGATAGCGAATGGTGTATCTTTTCCTACGACTGCAACTGCACAATTCTAAATTCGAATAGACTTTCAATGATAATTAGGAGTCTAGTAATGATTTTACCTTAATTGTTAATTCCACTTCATTCGGTAAGGTATCACGTAATGCCCTCATACAGTGTTTAATTAACTCGTCTTGATTTGAATCAGAGAATTTGTCAAGATTCTTTTCCAAGTATGTCCGAGCTGATTGAGAGCGAGCACCAATGGCCATGCATTTGCATGAGTAATAGTTCGCCGATGGGCATAGTTGATATAAATGTGTACCTTTTTCCTAAAAGACATGATTATTCAAATGCTAGACGTCAAACATTCTACAAACATCGAAGCCAGCCATGAGGAAACCAACACCAAATGGACGACGTCCATAGCGTTGAGTTGGAACTTGACATTCTACAATGATCACAGTGAATACAACAAGGAATTATACAATCGCTTGCTCATTACTATTGCTAACATGATCCATTAATCTTGTCACCGGCATAGGTTTGTCGAAACCATATTGATGATTAATACATTCAGTTCGCATGAAACGGCTGCAAATACATAAAAACAGATCGTTTTCTTTGGAATAGTCATTATAGCAATGATGTTACCAAAGAATGCGAGCATCTGATGCTAATCCAGCGATCGAAACACCAATGTGATCATCAATAAACATGATCTTTTTTTGATGAGCCGATAATTCTGACGGAGCACGCTAAAATATCACGTTTGAGAACGAATTCTATTCTTCGGATTATAATCATACTTTCAAGGCACAAAGAACAACATGTGTTTTCGATTTAACTGCTACAGTTGCTGCACCTTGCTTCACAGCTTCCATGGCGTATTCGATTTGGTAAAGTCTTCCCTAATTATATGCATATTAAGACCGAAAAGGAAAACGAAATGGGTTTTAAAATGCGTACTTGAGGACTCCAAATGCTAACATCATGATCGTATTGATTACGGAACTAGGGGAGAAAAGAATAAGAATAAAAAATAAAAGATTTTCGGAGGAGAAATACCATTGTGGAGTTTTAGATCGAATCGATCAATTTATTTTGTCTGTAGAAGAGTAAAAAAACAACAAGATACGAAGAAGAAATTGTTGTACTGTGTCAATCGAATGATTCATCCGATCGAATAAATTTGCATAAAATTAAATAATTCATTTTTGAATTTGAAATTTTAGGAAAATTCTCTATATAGATTGATCCATAAGGCAATTTTTATAGAAATTATAAATTAAATTTGAAACTTCTACAGATGGCGCTACTGCGTATTCATCACAGTCAGTTCATATTGAAATTATAAATGATTCTCCGGAACCTATCGAGACAAGAACGAACACTGTCTTCTTAGCTCTATTTGCATTGTCTCGAAGAGAGCATCTTGTCAAGTGTAAACATATTTGCAAAATTCTGCTAAGCATATTAGAATAAAATCCTAATGAAAACATCGAACTCGATCATGATGTTATGTTATGTTATGTTTCGATGTCGAAAACGAAAAGTTAATCAATAAAAACAACAATTGAAAATGTACGATAATGTTGACACTGATATGCATAGATGTTTCTTGCTGTTTTCTCTCGTTCTCAATCATGATTTCATCGTTTACAGAAGACAATAGAGTGAAGCACGAGTCGAAAGTAATCATTTTTCTTCTAGTTAAATGTACTTGTGCTCTTGAAGACGTACACTTCGAATTGAGTTGATGAAGTCTTGCAAGGACTGTGTTCTTCTTCGAATGGCACTGCGTAATACTATACATTGGATGATAAGGTGTCTGGTTGTCTGTGTATGTTATTCTCTTTCAATCGTGCTATCGTGGCTTCTGTTGACGATAATTCTAAATCTTCGTGTATGCTTTGTCAACAGCACCTCACAATGGATCAAGTATAGTGTTTATTCTATAAATGGATTGACGTTGAAAGAAAAGTCTGCATTGAATCATTGTGGTTATTAGAAATAATCATTAACCTGAGAATTCTTTCTCCTTTCGTCCAATTACTTCGAAACGGGGATGAACTGAACTTCAATGGTCTCATTCATCCTCTTTTGCCTAGTCTAAGGTTTCAATAGAATTACAAAAATTACTTGTCAAGCTTTTCATCATCATTCGATCAAGAAAAAGAAACTGTTCTCTCCACGAATTAAATAATAATGACAAGTTATTTCCATCCCAAACTCTATCTCGATACTGATTTAACATATCATTTACGTGATTCAACGGCTCGGTAAGCATTAGTAAAATACTAACACAGGTGCCGATGTCGACATCTTACAATAACATTACTTGATCGATTATTGTTTATTTTTGCAAAAGCAATGATATCTGTTCGTATTCGAACACACGTCTTTACTCTAATTGAATGTCCTTTTTTTCTCTTTTCTTGTTCTCAGATCAATATATGTATATTATTCTTATTTTTATGCATGCGATCGCAATCGTGAAGATGGAAACGGCACGTCTCCGTCTCTCTTGTGCGCTTTTTTCATGTTCAAAGTCAAAGCGCATGCATTAGGGATTCGTATAGAATGAAGAGAAACGAAAACAGAGCAATACTATTGTATTTGTGCTTGACAGAGTGCATTTTAAACAAAAGCCATCGCCGATTGTATGAAGAAGAGCAAATACTCTTGAAAAAAATCAGAATGAATGAGTGCGGTGAGGAACTTTTTTTTTAATAATCATTTCGACCAATCGATTCTTGTTCTTATCCAGACAAATTTTCGAGCTAATCAGTTGACGAAATCCTCATGCGTATCATATCCGTATCCTTGATTGTTATTCTTGACATCATCATATGTCAACTACTTCAACATTGAGATGATCATATTTGTTGACTCATAAGAAGAAAAATCTTTTAAAATAACTTTAACTGTACAAACAAAACTCCGAAATGATATCAGTAAATACGGCAAACGAAAGAAAAACTTGTTACTAATTCAAGTGCTCGTTACATTTCGAGAGAAGGAAAAAAACGAATTCATGAGCACGTCCACGTCTTGATGGGAGTGTATGTGTTTCTTTTTCTATGATTCTGATTCGTTCGCCAATATTTTTCTCGCCAACCAATTGCTAAAAGCAAATAAGAAAAGAATAACATTAATACACCATCATCATCTTGTTTGACTGGTGTGTCGAACAACATCATTAAAAGCATTGCTCGCTTCTAATAGGTTCGGTTCATCCGAACGAGAGGAAGAAAAAGATTTTAATCTCTTTTCTTTCTCTC